TGTTGGCCCCCTTGACGTCAACTGCGTTTTTTGTCAAATTGTGAGCCATCTGGCATTATATTTGTAAAAGAATGGCGTTACATACGTAGCTTAGTTCATGGGGCTTACTTTGAAACCGGTTTTGTTACTCTAACCCATTCCTAGTTGGCTCTACAAGGCCAAAAGTGTCTAACTGGGCCAACTAGCCCCGGGCTCCCTATAAAAATAATTTCTGAGGGAGAATTGCCCTTTTGTTGTTATAGGTTTTCCTCCCACCTTCAAATCTTTTATCTCGTGCTGTGTAAACAGAACGTAGCGCAAAGCAAATAACAAAATGGATCAATAATAATGAAGGTTTAGCTGATCGAAGGAAAGAGCTCTCTATTCAACATCAGGCATGTCGAACACTTGGCGCAGGTATGAGAGTAAGACTTAAACGTACGCTCGTATGGATTATCGGGCTATATTTATTCATAATATATTATTTTTTCAACCCTTCTGCTAATTACCTTGAGCCTTACATCAAAGACATAGTTCAACCAGGTTTAGAATCACGGCAGATAGTAAAAAACGGCAAGCTTCCTGAAACGACAACAACGACCACAGAATGTACTACGGAGAAATTGACGGTCATTCCCAGTCGTGCTGACTACAAGTCATGCCCAAAGCTATCGCCGCCTCCTTTCGACACACCCGATCGTCAAGATTTCCTCCCTGTTGGAGAAGAAGGGACTTTCTATACTTTTTCCGCCTTCGTCGATGACCGACTTGGAAAGAATGGCGTCCTTGTCGTCATATCTATAGGCGACCCCAAGGGGAAACTTCCGAGATTTTGCCAGGCTTGGTACAATGCAGGGAGGGACAACACAACAGGCAGCGCTTTAGGGGGACATGCTAATGCAACGGTCTTCCTGAATATCATCCCCGGAAAACTGGAGAAATATCCCGAAGGCCATGGGCGAAGGTATAGTCCGTAATGTATATGCCATTGCTTATTTCGCTCAAAATTAATAGGGATACGAAAATGTTAGAAATCTTTAAATCATACCGATTTGCTGGGCCTCAAAAAAGTAAACTTGCGCTACTTGGGGGTTACTTATGTGACGTGATCGTGTAAGCTTACTTTGTACAGAGGTCCACAAGGTAGACCTCAGGAAAATCGATGTCTCCCGTATGGCAATGTAGCTTTGGGTTTGAACTATTACGTTTTGAACTAAAACATAAGCATAAGAACCAGTTTATATAGTCAAGGTTTGATAAAGGTGGCAAACTTGACAAAAAAGGGCAAATAATTGTTTTTTGATACATGATAAACAAAAGCTTTGGTTGTACTTCGAATTCTTATCTTTCTGTAAATATGCTCTGCAGATAAAGGGCAGTTTGTGACGTTACATTGTGGGAGAGGGCTGGGGTAAGACGTAACAGGTTTCCATTTTGAACCGTTATCGGTCTCTTTACGTGTGCTCCGATAGCGAGTTGTCATTCTTGATACACGCCAACAATGTGCACTAAGATCGCTGTGAGATCAAGCTCACACCAAACATTTTGTTATAATCCGCCAACCCCCTCTCCCCCTCCCTCCTCCCCCTCCCATATCTGCACATGGTTGTTGTCAAGCCTGTGTGTTTTATCAGTGCGTGAAGGTGAGGTGTCTTTTTTATTTGACTTTGACCCAGATTGATAGACTACATATGTAGAATATTCAACAGGGAAAAAATGTTGATCTGTTGCCACTTGTAAGACCTTGAGTGCACGCTCCTCCTTACACTACCAGCCAAATGTGTGCCTTTTGAGTAATTCTTTTGATGTCCATACTTACTCTGTTCAATGTACCTACAAGGAATTATATAACTATTGATTTTCACCTTAGTAGTTGTTAAAATTTGCAAATACCAGAATCAATAGAATACGCTTGCTGCAGCAATTTTCTATTGCAGCGTGCAATCGTATTCGAACAATGTGGTTATCTGGCTGTGAAATCAATGATACAAAATCCGTCTACATAACGGCAGTCCAAAATGATGAAGATTTACATCTAATATCTTCTTCATCAGTGCACTGGGCTTATCGAACTTCAGTCTATCTACTTCCAAAGTAAAATAACCCCCATAAAATTTTCTCCTTTCGGCTTAGACCGAGTGAACTGATATTTCTTGTATTTTCACTTTGTACTAATATAAGTACCTTCTGAGCAGGAGTATTAAGCTCATTATTTAAAAACCATAAGGACATATGCTATTTGGAAAGACTTAATGAGGATTAAAGGAGACAAGCATTGCATTCACTGATTAATCAGGATTTTATTTGATCTGCCTAAATCTGTCACCTCGCGATATACATATGTCTGAAATTGATACACATTTAAAGCGATTTTCATGTTTGAATTATTCATGAGAAAGCGGGGATGAATCAAGCATCATCGTCCTCGTCGTTGTCATCATCATTATTATTATTATTATTATTATTTTACACTATTAGGCACCAGCCTCTCAGCCTCTTAACACCTGTGTCAGCTGCATCATGGGCGTATTCTTTATCACTAAACAGAAACACCCCAACATTGTTTAATCAGGGAATCGTTTATTACAATGTGATATTAAGTCGCGTTCAGAGTAAAAAATGTTTGACACCCACCCCTGTAAATCCGGCCATCACGGACAGTTAGATGAGACTGTACATGTACGTATGCAGTAATTGAACCCGGTTTATTGACCAGGGGTGGGGACATGAGGGAGGGAGGGCACAAGGATAACACATTTTGCCTTGCTTCACTTCCCAGGTATTATATAGGGAGGGGGTTACAATCCATCCTCTGCTTCCTGAAGGTAGAACATATTCCCTAGTATAGCATCAATGCAGCCCTCTCTGTCACATGCTATTCGTCCGTTTTTTTTTTTTTTTTTTGTTTGTTTTTTTTAAGATCTTGAAGGTCATGTGGTTTCAGAGAAGTTAAGCGTCTCAAAAAATCTCCTCGCTTGCAAATATAGGTATTTTCTAATAACTAACAATTCAAACATTTTTGTTTTTGTTTCACAGGTTTAATGGATATGCTTTCCACTGCCCGCTGACGTCACAACTGTTGCCATATGCCGCATCACTTGCCTACAATGAATGTGATATTCCAGCACGTGGAGTACTGAAGGTCCTTAATACTAAACCAACAAAATTGCCAGTCAAACCGAAATTTGAATTTGCAGTCTGCATAACGCCAATGAGTTTACAATACGATAATGTTAATCAGTTCGTGGAGATGGTTGAAATGAACCGCGAGTTGGGCGCTGAACATTTTACATTCTATAACTACAGCATAGGTCCACGAGTTGCCAAAGTACTAAAACATTATACCAAACAAGGTGTTGCAGATCTCATTCAGTGGCCTTTACCTATCAAAGCTAATATTTGGCCCCCAGTTAAGGGGCAGAGGGAGGAAATTCATTACTATGGACAAGTGGTGGCGCTGAATGACTGCTTCAACAGATATATGCATAAAGCTGACTTCACAGTTATGACGGATATGGATGAGTTTATCGTGCCACGAGTTGATATGACCTGGAAAAAACTAGTGCAAAGTCTCGGTGGAATGAAACCACACGTAGGTTCATTTCTATTCAAAAACGCCTTTTTTAAGGCAGAATGGCCGAACGACGAAAGTCTTGCCAATAACAAATCAATCAATGAATTTAATCTTTTAACACAGCTAAAAACAAAGCGCGAGAAGAAAGTGAGTAGGCCCCGTTCTCGCTCAAAATATTTCGTCATCACAGAACGCTCGCGTATCGTGGGAATTCACTATGTATGGAAGAACATGCCAGGATATAAAGATCACGTGGTACCAGAAGAAATTGCAATGTTGTTTCACTACAGAAATTGGGACAATCCTGATGACAAGAACTGGATTGTGGATAGAACTATGCACAAGTATAGCGACAGCTTATTACGGAGAGTGCAAAATGTTTATCATACAGTACAATTGTGATGATTAATCTATTTAATTTATTTAACACGTGTAGCCTGCCCGGTGCGCTTTACAATGTTGCAATATTTTTATTTTAAAAATTTTATTCAAAATTTCAATTGATTCAAGTTTAGTAACGAAAAATAAATACATGAAGTTAATGGCTTTAATCGATATCATTCTCTAAACACTCCATCTTCTGATTTGTATTCTAGGAGAAAAAATCATACGCATTATTTTGTGAGTTTTCAGTCTTTTATTCACATGTCCACAGAAACCAAAAACTTTCTTAAATAGTATATTCGTTGAGATTTGATGTCTCGCCAAGCAAAAAATCAACTGGTAGCTAATGCTCTTTTCCGAAAAAAAAGGTAAAAGAACCAATAACCAAATGTGTTTATTCATTTTTCTGACATATATATTTGAACAAAATCAGAAGACTTTGTTAATATGCCACATTAGCTGGGAATACATTTTTAAAGTGTATCATTACATATGTTTTTTGTTTTGTTTCTGTGTATATGTAAATCAAAGACTGAAAACTCGAGCTAGCTTTGTAAGTCCACCCCGTGACCTACCCGCGGCATCACAATATGTTTTCATTTACGAATGTAAGCCTATGAGTTTTACACTGAATAATGCATTTGCATATCATGTGTGCCGTCAGCAATACTATGGTGACAATGGAACATTATCTTTCATGTACTGTATGTTTTTTTTGTGTTTATTTCTAGTCCCAAACACAATGCCGTTTAAACAATAGGCCTAATTTAGGCCGGTTCTTTACAAGCTATATGTAGAACAGTTGGTTATACTTTTTTTCTGTGTTCTTTATATATACGCATGTATTTTAAACACATCTGTTAGAGCGTATGTTTTTTAATTGGCATTTAAACTGTGGTTTTTGACGTGAGAGTCAAAATAATCTTATCAGTTTTTTGTAATCAATTATTATTATCTGAGCATTATTATTTTATCATAAAGGGTTTTAAACCCTAATACTTTTATTTTGAAGTGCCATCATTTCGAGTGCATTAAGCTTCATATATCTTTGTTTTATTAGAATTGGCATTGATATATCAGTTTGCATTGCCATACCGTATTATGTATTGTACGCATTATTTCAATGTAATTTTCCACGTCTGTTTCATTGTATTTTATGCCCTTTCTATTTCGATTTTCTTTGCTGTATGTATTGATCGTGGCGAGAATGAATAAAACAATAAATTGAAGTATGTCTACATGTAAGTTCAGCATGAGTAGGGCCTACCGTGTCTATAAGTACATATACACTGTATGATACTGCCAATGATACCGGTAGCTGTATAGCAAAGATCTACTTCTCTCTCTTTCCCATCCAACCCAATTTCACTCAACCTGGCGATAAAGGTCTACCGGTACATATAGGCCTACACTGACCACGTAATTGATATCAGGCCTAATGGTAGTCATTTGGTACATGTAGCCTACAGGTGACAACATGCCTATGAGTTTTTAACCAAGTACAGGGTACATTGTAATTTGCGGACATGCAGTGGCAGGGTCTACCCTTGACCTACACAATTGGAGAAAAAATATATTTATGGATGTAAAAAGACATGTAAAAAGATAAAAGGAGTCCTAAGCAAAACGTCGGGAACGTTGGGGAAATTAAAATTATCATGGAAATACAAAATCGCTTTTGAATTTGCAGGCATCAGTTGAGGCAATACAGTGTTTGGCTTTTGCAGTTGTCAACCAACAGGTGGCAGTAGTAAACGTTCAGTCTTTGATCGTTCTTGGATCGAGACTGATGTGACCTACATACATGTATGTCAAATGCTTCAAGTACCTGTACATGTCAGTGACTTGTACATGAAGGTATGGCCAAATTTCGACTAAAACAAAATAGTTTCATCAATTAATATGTTACCGGTATGAGGGTGCGTATAAAACGTATGCTCATATGTGCATTAACGTTGTATTTGGCAGGTGTGTACTATTTTTTCATCCTTAGCGCTGATCGATCCAAGCTAAGTGTAGGTCCAGGTAACGAAGCAGGTGATGACCTAGATACTGAAATGCGACATGTGGCTGCTGACGGTAACATTGTTTACATGAAACGAAAGGAATTCACAGGAGAATCAGCGACACAACCTCGCCGCACTGCCTATGAATTATGTCCACAGCTTTTGCCCCCTCCGTTTAATACAGCAGATCGTCAAGTTTTCTTGCCGGTGGGTGGACAGGGGTTATTTTACACTTTCTCGGCCTATGTTGACGATCGCTTAGGAAAGAATGGCGTACTAATAATTTTGTCGATAGGGGATTCCAGAGGCAAAATGATGAAGTTCCCACGTTATTGTCAAGTTTGGTACCGTGATGAGAATGAGGAAGCACCTGTAGCTGCGACGGCCACGCTGAATGTATTACCTGGTGGACCGGAGATATTACCTGAGGACAAGGGACTAAGGTGTGATAAGATTTCTTAATCTGATTTAACATGTGTGGCTTTCTATTTCTTTCACTTTGCTTGCTTATTTATTTAACAAATGCACTTTAAGTATTTCTATATATTATAATTAACGCAACTCGCCAGGCATGTTATACAGAAAAAGATCGCCCTGTAGCATAATTCCAGGGTTTTGCTGGAGGGGGGGGGGGGCATTAGGATAAAAATTTATCTACCTTACTTCTTATATTAAATATTAGACGGTGACAATGTTACTGTGATATGAAGGGCACAAGGGTGGAAGAATTACTTGGTTTTTCTTCCTCTCGTTTGTTATACTGTTTTGGGTGTGGTGAAGGGGTACATGGATCTCCGAACCTATAGTAAGGTAGGGCAGGTGGTTCACTATAACAGCCTGGAATCATCATATTGTAAGACTGTGATAATAGGCCTACATCTGTAATACACCCATAATTGTTATATTTATCATTGGAAGCCCCATCCCATTTTAAATGTATATATAAGTAATCGTCAGTCAAGATTAACATACCTGTGGCCTAAAGATGTTAGTAGCCCCATGCTGATAATCATTCATTATTCCATTACATTACCACATTCATTTCATATTTATATTTACCTTATGATAATGATTCATCATTGATGATATAATTAATTAATGTACTTGTTAATAACAATAGTATCATTACTTATTTTAGTGAATGGCTGAAGGATTTATTATTTCACTTTTGTCATATATTTCACACAGGTACACAGGCTATACTTTCAACTGCCCCCTGCCGTCACAGAAGAGACCGTATGCCGTGTCACTTGCATACAATAAGTGTGACGGGCCTTCTGGCGGCGTTCTGAAGGTCCTGAATACCAAATCATGGCCGAATACAGTAAAACCACGCTATAGGTTTGCAGTTTGTGTGACCCCGCTACATCTGCATTATGATAACTTGAACCAGTTTATAGAAATGGTGGAAATGAACCGCGAGTTGGGCGCGGAACATTTTACCTTTTACAATTACAGCATTGGCCCACGAGTGACCAAAGCGCTTAAACATTATATCAAGGAAGGTGTTGTGGATCTTATTCAGTGGCCGGTACCTGTCAAGGTAAATGTGTGGCCGCCCATCGAAGGATATAAAGAAGAGCTTTATTACTTTGGGCAAATACCTGCTCTTAATGATTGTCTACATAGGTATTTGCACAAAGCAAACGTAACAGTGATGACTGATATGGACGAATTTATTGTACCACGTGTTGATCGAACTTGGAGAGACCTATTTGAAAGGCTGGGAGCAATGGACGAGAAAGTGAGAGCATATGTGTTCAAAAACACATTTTTCAGGACAGAATGGCCGAACGATGAAAGTCTTTTAAAAAATAAATCAGTCAATGAGTTTAACCTGTTAACACAGTTAAAAACGAAGAGGGAAAATTACGTCAGCAGGCCACACACACGTTCGAAATATTTCGCTATCACAGAACGCGTTCGCATTGTCGGCATTCACTTTGTGTGGAAGGGTTTTCCTGGCTACCCAGAACGCATTGTGCCGGAGGAGGTTGGATTGTTACATCATTACAGAAATTGGGAGGATCCGACAGACAAAAACTGGATCGTGGATAGAACTATGCATAAATATAGTGATAAATTATTACTCAGATTGAATAATATTCATCGGTTATTAAAACAGCTGTGACAATGAATTTTTCTATGTGTTATTGTAGGCTGTATCTTATCCTGAACACATGTTTTGAAACACAGTTCTTTATCCTTACATATGAACCACATTGATATTTACGCAAATAATTTTTACATTTTACATTCTTCTGGTATTCTCAAATATAGTATACAGAACAACTGTCTCATATAAAAGAATATCGATTAGTTGGTTCTTTATTGCGCTGTTAGCATCTTTAAAACTTTAAAAATACAAGAAATAGATATGACCGATCATTCGGCTTACTGCATGTGAAGAAATAGTTGAAAACTTAAAAACGCATCCACTTCCGGATGGAGAGCGATAGAGTTGTAGACTTGCACTGAAATGTTGTTTGGGACCGAAGTAAAACTTTTTTTTTTGATGCGCCTGAATTGCGTGGGAATGTTTGGCTTGGAATTCTCCATAGATACGGATTTAGAATACNAGCAAAGATCTACTTCTCTCTCTTTCCCATCCAACCCAATTTCACTCAACCTGGCGATAAAGGTCTACCGGTACATATAGGCCTACACTGACCACGTAATTGATATCAGGCCTAATGGTAGTCATTTGGTACATGTAGCCTACAGGTGACAACATGCCTATGAGTTTTTAACCAAGTACATTGTAATTTGCGGACATGTAGTGGCAGGGTCTACCCGTGACCTACACAATTCGAGAAAATATATATTGATGGATGTAAAAGACATGTAAAAAGATATAAGGAGTCCTAAGCAAAACGTTGGGAACGTTGGGGAAATTAAAATTATCATGGAAATACAAAATCGCTTTTGAATCTGCAGGCATCAGTTGAGGCAATACAGTGTTTGGCTTTTGCGGTTGTCAACCAACAGGTGGCAGTAGTAAACGTTCAGTCTTTGGTCGTTCTTGGATCGAGACTGATGTGACCTACATACATGTATATAAAATGCTTCAAGTACCTGTACATGTCAGTGACATGTACATGAAGGTATGGCCAAATTTCGAGAAAAACATAGTAGTTTGATCAGTTAATATGTTACCGGTATGAGGATGCGTATAAAACGTATGCTCATATGTACATTAACGTTGTATTTGGCAGGTGTGTACTATTTTTTCATCCTTAGTGGTGATCGATCCAAGCTAAGTGTAGGTCCAGGTAACGAAGCAGGTGATGACCTAGATACTGAAATGCGACATGTGGCTGCTGACGGTAACATTGTTTACATGAAACGAAAGGAATTCACAGGAGAATCAGCGACACAACCTCGCCGCACTGCCTATGAATTATGTCCACAGCTTTTGCCCCCTCCGTTTAATACAGCAGATCGTCAAGTTTTCTTGCCGGTGGGTGGACAGGGGTTATTCTACACTTTCTCAGCCTTTGTTGACGATCGCTTAGGAAAGAATGGCGTACTAATAATTTTGTCGATAGGGGATTCCAGAGGCAAAATGATGAAGTTCCCACGTTATTGCCAAGTTTGGTACCGTGATGAGAATGAGGAAGCACCTGTAGCTGCGACGGCCACGCTGAATGTATTACCTGGTGGACCGGAGATATTACCTGAGGACAAGGGGCTAAGGTGTGATAAGATTTCTTAATCTGATTTAACATGTGTGGCATTCTATTTCTTTCACTTTGCTTGCTTATTTGTTTAACAAATGCACTTTAAATATTTCTATATATTATAATTAACGCAACTCGCCGGGCATGTTATACAGAAAAAGATCGCCCTGTAGCATAATTCCAGGGTTTTGCTGGAAGGGGGGGCATTAGGATAAAAATTAATCTGCCTCACTTCTTATATTAAATAGTAGACGGTGACAAGTTTACTGTGATATGAAGGGCACAAGGGTGGAAGAATTACTTGGCTTTTCTTCCTCTCGTTTGTTATACTGTTTTGGGTGTGGTGAAGGGGTAGGCCTACATGTGTCTCCGAACCTATATAGTAAGGGAGGGCAGGTGGTTCACTGTGATAGCCTAGATCCTTCATATTGTAAGACTGTCTAATACATGTGTAATACACCGATAATTGTAGCGTGATATGATGTTAATATGATGTTAATAGCCCCATGCTTATAATCATTCATTATTCCATTACATTACCACATTCATTTGATATTTATATTTACCTAATGATAATGATTCATCATTGATGATATAATTAATTAATGTACTTGTTAATAATAATAGTATCTTTACTTATTTTAGTGAATGGCTGAAGGATTTATTATTTCAGTTTTGTCATGTATTTCACACAGGTACACAGGCTATACTTTCAACTGCCCCCTGCCGTCACAGAAGAGACCGTATGCCGTGTCACTTGCATACAATAAGTGTGACGTGCCTGCTGGCGGCGTTCTGAAGGTCCTGAATACCAAATCATGGCAGAATACAGTAAAACCACGCTTTGGGTTTGCAGTTTGTGTGACACCGCTACATCTGCATTATGATAACTTAAACCAGTTTATAGAAATGGTGGAAATGAACCGCCAGTTGGGCGCGGAACATTTTACCTTTTACAATTACAGCATTGGTCCACGAGTGACCAAAGCGCTTAAACATTACATCAAAGAAGGTGTTGTGGATCTTATTCAGTGGCCGGTACCTGTCAAGGTAAATGTGTGGCCGCCCATCGAAGGATATAAAGAAGAGCTTTATTACTTTGGGCAAATACCTGCTCTTAATGATTGTCTACATAGGTATTTGCACAAAGCAAACGTAACAGTGATGACTGATATGGACGAATTTATTGTACCACGTGTTGATCGAACTTGGAGGGACCTATTTGAAAGGCTGGGAGCAATGGACGAGAAAGTGAGAGCATATGTGTTCAAAAACACATTTTTCAGGACAGAATGGCCGAACGATGAAAGTCTTTTAAAAAATGAATCAGTCAATGAGTTTAACCTGTTAACACAGTTAAAAACGAAGAGGGAAAATTACGTCAGCAGGCCACACACACGTTCGAAATATTTCGCTATCACAGAACGCGTTCGCATCGTCGGCATTCACTTTGTGTGGAAGGGTTTTCCTGGCTACCCAGAACGCATTGTGCCGGAGGAGGTTGGATTGTTACATCATTACAGAAATTGGGAGGATCCGACAGACAAAAACTGGATCGTGGATAGAACTATGCATAAATATAGTGATAAATTATTACTCAGATTGAATAATATTCATCGGTTATTAAAACAGCTGTGACAATGAATTTTTCTATGTGTTATTGTAGGCTGTATCTTATCCTGAACACATGTTTTGAAACACAGTTCTTTATCCTTACATATGAACCACATTGATATTTACGCAAATAATTTTTACATTTTACATTCTTCTGGTATTCTCAAATATAGTATACAGAACAACTGTCTCATATAAAAGAATATCGATTAGTTGGTTCTTTATTGCGCTGTTAGCATCTTTAAAACTCACGCACGAAAAAATACAAGAAATAGATATGACCGATCATTCGGCTTACTGCATGTGAAGAAATAGTTGAAAACTTAAAAACGCATCCACTTCCGGATAGAGAGCGATAGAGTTGTAGACTTGCACTGAAATGTTGTTTGGGACCGAAGTAAAACTTTTTTTTTGATGCGCCTGAATTGCGTGGGAATTTTTGGCTTGGAATTCTCCATAGATACGGATTTAGAATGCATGCATTTTTCCTGCATGACCAGTGCCGGTTTTCTTTGTATAAAACACTGCATTCCAATGAATTTCAAGGTCATTTTTTTATTATCATCTTTCATATTAGCACTATTATAATCATGATTTTACAATTTATGACATTTTAATGTTTCAAACTTCATATTTAAAGGTACTCTATACGGGATTTATCCGCCTAAATAAATATTCCTTGGGGGGGGGGGGGGGTCCTGCTTGTGAAGGATTGCTAGACCCACCCCTGCACTTGCATTACATGTTTTATTCCATTTTTTAAAATCTTATTATTTAGTCCTAAACGACTGGCTAGACATTTTGTAACGCCAGGTCTTCGTGTTCAGAAACTATAGAAGTCGGGTATTTTCATTTGAGGGTGTTTATGATTTTAAAATATGTATTGGAAAATATTAGTATTTTTTCAGAATATGAAGACAGAAAATATCATTAAGTGAACTTTTCAAACAGGTATAGTGTACCTTTGATTAATACAATTTTAAATAAGCACAAGGATTGCTCTGTTTTGGCACAAAACATTCGTCCTCTGCATATAACATTACAAATCCCAAAATCAACGTGAGAAATTCTTTTTGTAAGCATCTCAGACTGTCACACTTGTTGTCACATTCAACGGAAAAAAGATATGCCTGTCCCTGCAAAATCGCTAAATGAAGGCGAGACCCGCAGTTGCTAATATTTTGAACTTCGGACAATGGTTCAACGCTTGCACACCATGTTGTGATGGTTCATTTTTTAATGGCAAGAGAGTCAGGTGGTGTGTTATGTTGCATTTCTTCTTCAGTGCTGAAAAAGAAATGTTGGCATTGAAGAATTTCATAAGTATAATTTTTATATAAAAAAAAGAAATGTTACTCCCAAACATACAAGGCACATGACAGAGTAAGAAGTGTAGACAAAGCATGGGCAAAGCAAGCATCTGCATTTTCTTAGATATGAAACGATTCAATTTGTTTAAGATATGGTCTAAAAAAGGTTCACGTACCATACAATAACATCATACAAGCCATCGTAGCCAAAACGACAGTCAGTTGTATTCCCATTGGACCAACGCACCTTGAATATTATAAAAGAACCGCTTAGTATTGTGTCCTCTAAAATGAATTAACTTTTTCATACATAATATAGGTCAAGACATAATATACCACAAAAATATCGAATGAGCACCAAAGCTGAGATAATTTGAACTGTTTGAACATCAGAACTGAGATAATTTTGTAATAACTGAAATAATTTTGTAATAACTATTCTTACCTTAATTTTTCCATTTTCGCATACTTTGTAAACGATGCCATGACCACCGGGCCCACCGTCGCTGTTGTCATTTTCAGGCCAGTCTAGACCTTGAAGAAAAGCAATAGTATTTTGTTTAATTTAAAGTGCACACCACGTGTTGGTCTGAAGTAAAAAAAAAACGAAAAACAAAGGCGGTAAACTCAACTCTTCAGTTTCTTGCTGTAGATAAGGATACAGCCAGACTACACCATAGTTCCACTTTAAATGAGTTCTTAGTGTTGTTTATCATACATGTATAGTGTGAAATATGACTTTTTATTTTTCTTCATATAGATGCTTAAGTGTCGATTCTGTGCATGAAAAATTAACATCCTCTCTGCATTCCTCTTACGCGACGTTAAAATTATACTCATTAGATATGTGTAACCTGTATCATATTTTCAATAAAAAGGGAACTCGTCATAATACCTCTCATAACGTGAACACCGACTGCTATCATTTCATCAGGGGATAATACTCGGGGTTGCTCCGTGACCATGACGTCATACATACCCGTAGACCCACCGAAACGATACCGAGCTTTGGTATTGTTTTTGTCCCACTGCACAATTACCGTGTCTGAATATGAAAACCGAGCATTTACCACTGTTTATTACTAAAACTATTTGTGAAGAAAACGGTATATTACACATGCAGATGCTTTGAAGGAAGTGTGCTGAGTATAGTGAATGAATAAAAATGAGTAGAACAAATAAATACATTAAAATTTGGATTTATCATAAATGCACACAGACGTTGCATCTTTGTTTGCTTATTTGTCCAGTTGCTGTCGGCGGTGTTGCTATCGTTGTCGTTATATCATTACCAAAATGTTCACTTACGGTGCCTGCCATATCCTACGATTGTGCCAGGACCGTTATCGTCTTGGTCATTCCACATCCAATCTGGTCCTCGCTGTACTCGCGTGCCAAGTGGGAGTTGCCTGCGAACCTCTGGATCCCCTTGTGCATCAATATCTGGTTCTCTTTCTGATTGTGCCTGCTGTTCTTGTAGACCAATGAAGATCTCGTACATCTCGTCCTTAAATATCATGAATGTAGAGCAATGTAACGAACGGGCATAAGTTGCAGTCTACAATCTTTTGCCTTGGGCTTTAAAGCAGAAAATGATAGTTCAATAAGCTTAGTTGTTGACATATGTGGAAATAATTTAACCTGTCTTTGCTTACCAATTCAAAATCTGTCATGTCCTCTTCTGAAAGCTCGTTGCCTTTAGTGGCTTTAAACCAATTCTTGAATTGTTCTTTTTCGGCAATCATACTGTACATAGCACCCTTATCTGAAACATCCAATTGCATCTTAAGAAAAATAACGCGCATTTTGCCTTAAGAAATTTTAAATGAAACTGAAGAAAAGAAAAAAGTTTCAAAGCTGTATTTTGCACTGTCATTGCCTCTATAAATACGATTAAAACTTGCGTTACTTACCTGAAAACGGGGCAGCAAACCTGCACACCTGAACCTGTGGAGAGAATGAGGGAAATTACATATACAACTAGAAAAGCACTCCGAGAGCGCAGACCTTCGCCAAGGCAGCAATTTTTGATTATTATTGATTATTGATTGATTTTTGATCCGGATCACCACCAAAAACTAATCATCTGTTCCTTGGCCCACTTCTGACAGTTCCTGAAAATTTCCATCATTTTTGAGTTATGTTGATGACAGACAGACAGAAAGACAGACAGACAAACAAACAAACAGGGGTGAAAACATAACCTCCTTGGCGGAGGTAAAAATTCATTTTATAGTGGCTTTAATAAAAACAAGACATGCCGACCTCTTTAAAAAATAAAGATTGTAGGGCATGTTCCCAGCTGGTACATGTATTTATCAACTATTAGAAGCTTACCAGTCGCCTGTAGTAACCTACTATCTTCTTCATAGCCGAGTTGTCTTCAATGTCGTAATATTTCCCGTTACATGTTTTTGTCACTGGATCTAGGACGCTCTGAAATTATATAGTGAGCTATATTATCATGCTAACCTCAGGGGTTAAACACGTAAATTTTGTACACACACACACACACACACACACACACACACACACACGCTCGCGCGTGCGCACGAACACACGCATTTACACACAACGTGCGAGCACATGTAAGAGATACTTTCATCATTATCCTTTGAACACCTGGTTTGCTAAATACAAGGACGGTTTGGCTCCCACACTCTTTTTCTAGATAAATGGTCAGTCGGCTACACTCTTTCTCCCAAAAGTGGAATAGCACACACACACATACAGGCCCACGGATACATGTTTTATCTACAAAATGGCAAAAACTGGATTGTATAACAAAAATGAAAACGCCAAACATTAAATTCTTCTTGAAAGCCTGAATACATTTAATATATCTCAAAAATCACTTGCTCCTATTAAAACTAGGTCATTCTTTACATATGTGCCGGGAACTTTTTTTACCCTTTCTCTATCTCCACAACCGATGAATGTAATTTTTGCTCTGTTTCGTGAATAGTCGACGTCAGTGGAGTACAACTGAATCGTTTCCATCAGTTTATAAATGGCCTGCAACACAAAAGTTCATAAATGACATTTGATTTTTTTTTCTTTTTTTTTTTATTTTTTATTTTTTTTTTTTTTTTTTGTAAATGGTCTCGATTAAAGCCCGTTTTAAGAGTACCACTTCTTTTTTACATACCATCACAACAAATCAGCACTTTTACTGAACATGTAGTCACTATTACTTCCCCCACTTTGAATGACACAATATAACAGGTATAAAAGTGAATACCCTAGGTTTAGCGTGGCGGACATCTTCTGTGCCAAAATCCCTGTCGTCACTGAGTAGACCATCAGTGAACATAATAATGCGTGGGGCAACTTTGAACCCAGACACCACCAGCTGACCGGCTGCAAACCGCAAACAGATATGCATATTACTTGCTAATTACTATGGTGTTGGCAATCTTTTATAATACTTTTGGTTAATATATTTGTTAAAGCTAACCATGTGACAGTTATCTAATCAGCCAATAAATATAACAGTTCCCGAGATTTGTATTTAATTATGATTCGCTTAAAGTTTGTTTTTACTCGGAATACAATGATCTTTAGATATCCCCATGTGACACTGCAATATTTGGCCTTCTGAAGCAGCGAATGAGTGCAACATGATTCTACTGTGAGAGGTTTTCTAAAAGATATAACGAAAAGTCAAAATTACAAGGAAGAGGAAAGTTTTAAAAAATGCCGACTGACAGTGTTTTTGGAGTTCTCTTCGGCATTCCCTAAAGCCTTGCACCAGCGGCGACATTCCTCCAGTAGTGATGAATTCTGAAAAAGAATAATGCATTGCGTCAAATTATACAACGGTGTTACACATTGTATTAGATATCTAACGGGTCATAATATTCTATATGACGTGTATGTTTCAACATGTTTGTATAGTTTTTAAAATTACTATGAAGTGGGGCACGTTGCCAGATGGCATAAATGGCAGCGTCCAGACTGGAATGTCACAATGCATTTGAAAGGGTCACTTACTTATACTGCCTCAGTAGATACTGTAAAACTTAAACAATCATTTTGAAAATCTGTCGTACCAAATCCCCTCCGCGCCATGTCGTAATCGCAAGTCAGCGGTACCACCACACCGGTGCCGTCTCCTCCACACTGAACAATGGACACGTTTTCCTCAAACCCATAATATGTGGCATCGTGCTCCATGCCTAGTAAATACTAGTAATTACTGATATACCAAATATGTCACTAAGATTTAACGAAGTTATATTAATTAACCGAAAAGGTTTACTTTCTTTTTCAAATGAAGTAACAAGATTTTAGAAATTGTATGTTGTTGCTAGAAGCAGTTGCAGCTCCACCTACATGTACGTTAAATATGTTTATTCAAATATTTCAAGATGGTACATTAACAAGTGTAACGTTGATGAACTTTCACTGACAAATACGTACGAGCTAATATCTGCAACACCGTGTCCTTAACTTTGGGAAAGGCTGTCTTCATCGAGCCAGATGTGTCAATACATATTACCGTGTCCAAGCCTTTGCTGCGTCTTATCTTCTTTTCACCTTCAGAAGAACCAAAACAATTTGTTAATACAAATACAGCACCTACAAAAATACCGTATTTATAAATTTTGTTAACTCATACTTATCTCTGTAAAAACCGTTAATTGTACAAAAAGACGAAAATTTAATATATTACCCACCTGGCTCACTGCCCTCCGTATTAGTCTCGGTACTCTCCCCACCTACTGCAGCTTGCTCCGTTTCTGATGCAGCTGCCACTACGTTGAGGGTAGTATCAGTGGCGCCTTCCTGTTTAGATATTGGTGCAGCTGGCGAGTTCTGATTTCTTTGCTCGATGTCTATATCTTTATTGCCTTCTTTATACGTGTCCCCAGATTCAGCTTCTTTCCCTTGGAATTGTGTAAAATTCTCTTTATTAAAAATTGCACCGAAATTGTCTCGGACTCCTTGTTCTCCGGCTTTGGGACCAAGCATATATTCTTCTAAAAGTTGCATCTCCTTTGTGTTTAAATTATTTTGTGGCATGTTGAAATTCTCTCCATGTTTAAGCGGCGTGTTGAGTTGATTTGTATACAGCACTCCTTCGCCAGATATAGGTCGTATCCCGTCAACTCTCCCTTCTAACTGGGTTAACCGTTCATCTTTTTCTTTAATATCTGCTTGAAGCTTCTGCACCTGTTCACGCAGCATCTGCGTCTCGCGTAGCGACGACTCTTCCTCGGCAGGAAGATTTCCTACCCGATCAACTGGACCAAGACGTGTGCTTCTTGTTTGTTGTTCGTGGGCATCAATTTGAATTTGCATATCTTTCAGACGACTTTGTAAGTGGCCAATGACTTCATTTTTGGCAGTAACTTCTGCAGATGTTTCCTCTAATTGCTGTTTTAATGTTTCACAGCTTTTTTCAGAATTTGCAAGTTGCTGTCGGTGATATTCAATTTCACTCAGATTCCCTGCACTGGCCAACTGCTTTTCTCGAAGCTCTTGTAGTTCAAGATCTTTCTCGACACGATCAGCAGTTAAGTTCTCCCAATCCCGTTTCATATTGGTGTAGGAAACAAGCAAATTTGATGAAAGGCCTCGCAGTCGAAGCACCTTCTGCCGAGCCCTAACACTATCGCTTAAGCGGTTCAGAAACATGGTGAAAGTTGGGACTGTGTCTTCCCCATACGCTTGCTTATGTAATTTATACAAAATAACAGAAAGACGCTCTTCCGTTTCATTTTCAAAGACAGAGCGTCCAACATACGGATGCAGGCAATCATCTGCGGACCTGACTGGAAGGCATTGGCTATCTGAAAAATAAGATTATGAAAAATACAGACAATGAAAAAAGGGCGGCAAGAAACCTTCGTTATTGGATCACTTTTTCAAATAGAGAATGAGTGGCAGTTTTCAAGGAAAATGATTCTGACCTCATTTTCAATTCTCATCTACTAATGCAAAAATGGTCAGTAAAGGCCACTTTCACCTTTTTCATTCAAAACAAAACTAAAAAAAAACATTTAAATTGGGTTCTCAACAAATGAGATTCATCACCACCTCTCGCCATGTTTCGATTTTGTTTTCACAATTATTGAGGTTTTTCAAACTGTGTTTGTTGCATCCTCAACAGGAATGTGAGACCGCCTACATGCAGTTTGAATTGGGAGCAAAAAAATGCTACATGTAGGTACCCTCTACCAGGACGACTGATAGATTTTTACAGATATTCACAGATATGTCTCTAGCTAGATAGATGGTCATTTTTGGCTGTAAAAATTTATCAGTCGCCCTGGTAGAGGGTAACATGTAGGTATATTGTCAGCCATTATAAACTAGCCGGGACGCATGGAGTGCGGTATATAATAACACTTTACTTTAAGTCATATAATGGCAATTAATCACAAAACATGCGTATAGTATTACAAAAATCGCCTTCTTGGCTTTTTCTTTAAGATACACAATCCATCGAAATAGTTACCTTCACCGGCTATCGATACTAAGAAATAATCAACTTGCAGCTTCAGTTCCTACCTTGCAACAGCTGTGCTCTTTTCTCAAAATACTGTTCGGCACTCATTTCTCCCTTGAGCAAGAATTCAAAACCATTCTGTTCCATTATTCTATCCAGTTCCCTAGTCCGCAACGCATTTCTTACTACCTTCAAAAGTGGCGAAGGCTCTTTGGATTTTGAATTCGTCCAACCCCAGAAATTATCAAGAACATTTATGGCGTCGAATCGCAGCGTACATAAGAGGCAGCCGGACTTGATGCTTTCCATCGTGAGGTGTATCAAACTTAGGGCCTCTTGAAGCATCGGTGCCTGTTCCTCTATTATCTGATGTGCTCGCTGCAGACGCTCTCTGTTGACATTATGCCCAGTAATTGACACTATATCCACTTTTAGTTCTGCGGTCACGTAATCTGAAGATGATAAAGTCAAAATTAAAATTCTTATATAAGCGATTAAGTATAAGCCCGCATCTTAGGATCGAATCTACAGTTATAACGTCACTACTTACAGAGCCACCACAATTTAGGGCAACATAGTCCAATGAATCCAATAGACGCGTCACTATAAGCAGCGAATTCCATGCATGAAAAATTAAGTATGATCGCTTGATACATATATTACTTACTCGTTTTCTCTTCTAACAGATTGTCAAGCCACGGTTTCGTATCTTTCAGCGCCTTTCGAAAGCTCCAAAACGCAGCATCTCCTCTCTTGGGCAGTATGTTCACGAGTAACGTTCTGTTTCTAATTGATGAGACAGCTATGTTACTTAACTGTTCAATATCATCTTCTTTCAAAATTCCATCTTCAAACAAATGTGGACAAATCAGATTAAATTCCAGATCATCCTCTAGTGCTTTGTGGTTCTTTTGTAGGATTCTTTTATGTTTTTCAGTCATTGCAATTGGTCCTACACAAAAATTAAACCACTGATTTAACTTTTATGCATTGTATGTGTAAGGAAGTAAGAATGAAGAAAAGAGAGAAAATGCCCACTTTAAATTCCTGATCTTAAATAGAAAATTTATTTAATTGCTTTGATACGTTCGAGATGCAAATACATATCATCATCGTATATATATACAAACGCTCTTATGCAACATTTATGAACAAAAATGCATAGCTTCAAACTGAGGTGCTCCCGTAAGGTCTAACTTCTGAGCTTTTGTCATACGCCACTTTCCATCTTTGTTTCCAAGATACTTTTAAGAATTAAAATATCATTTCCATACCTCGCTGGCAAGTTCTGAACAAGTCCATTCTGAAAAATATTTGTATTTTACTTAACGACTAGCAGCTAAAAAAATCTACCGGGCAACAACATATAAAATGTGCTAGGAAATAAACATTCTTGTTGGGACCTGGCACACTAACAGACACCTCATGCACATTGTCAAAAAAAAAACTTTCTTAAAAGACTTTTCATTTTTAAGTCAACTAAAGTTGTCCCGTCGTCAGCTTGCTGGAGCCAAGCGAAACTATTCATTTACTCATGTATTTGACACATTATCATAAAAAAAAAAAAAATGCTTTTTTTGTTTGACTAACTTGGGCTCTGGATGGCCTCCTCTCTCAATATCTGCACTCATTCGTTGAGGAACCATTCCGAGTCTTTCCTGGTTATCCACTAGAACGGTGTTAGATCTCTCATCAACAGTTGAATGTATGCCCATGGTTTGGTGGTTCTGGAAGCGTAAGTTCTTTAAATTGAAAATGCGTGTTTCCTTTGCATTTATTTGATTCCAAATACATGGGTGTCCACCTTTAACAAACTGATGTTAACACATTAAATCATTATGAGAAATAAAAATTGGCCGGCTGATTAGTGAATAATATAATGAACTCGCTCAAAATTGGTATTTTAATATGACATTAAAGGAATGTTTTAATCGATAAATCCTGGAATGATTTTGTCAATATGTTATAAAATTGTTGTAATAATATTTCAGGAAAAAAAACGAAACCTACGAAAAAATCCTGTGGATGAACATCCGACATTCTTTCATTCAATTCGATTCCTTGGGCTAGCATCGATGGCATTTCCGTGATGGCTTCACTATGCCCACTTACTGCCTGGTCAATGCGAGCAAGCATCTTCTCAATATGATTTAACCTCAAGCCATCTTGTTTTTGTAAAAAGGCGTATTCCTGCAGCCGTTTATCAATGACTGTGATTTTCCCTTGCAAATCGTCAAACCTGACGTTCATTTTAGGTTCAATGGAAGTTACGGCCTGTAGGGTATTTATCTACAACAAGCAGGAAAATAGCACATTAGCCTTGATAACATACATTCTTAAATAAAACGGGAAGGCAAAAAAAGTATGCTGTCAAACTCTTATCGACTTGTTCTCTTCTACTGAACTATGCAGTTTTTGCCTTCTGTGAATGTGATCAAAACATCGTCTCTCCCCCTCTCTCTCTCACACTCTCGTTCCTCTCTCTCTCTCTCTCTCTCTCTCTCTCTCTCTTTGCGAGACTGTGTATGTATGCGTATGTGTAGTAATAAACCTGTTGCTGCATCAGTGGAACCGGTCGAGGGTACATCTGCGGCACTAGGCCATACCCGTGCCTACCGCTGACACCGTATACCGAAGGGGGTGGTCCATGTTGTCCTGGCCATTGCTGTTCAATATAGATACGATTCTGCGTTGTAGGCTGTCCAGTATGCTGCAAAATGACAAATTGTCCTTGTTACATAACAAAATAAAATGTTTTAAACTGACCATAATTTACCTACATGTAGCAACTGGGATATTTTGATATGAAACGTCAGAGCACAAATTTCTGCAGCATTTCTATATAATAATGATAATATAGGGAGGAGTCGGTCTTTGGTGTATTAGGTAAGAAAGACGTTAGAATACGATAGCAACTCCAATTACCTGAACTGCAAAATAAATAAAAATCAATATTATTGTAAAAATACGCAGCAGGACACATGGGGTAAAATGAACAGTTGAATGCCCGTAGTCAGAGTTGAAAAGATATAAGGCAAATAATCTCCTGCTATGGCCACCAATAGGTCTACCAAGCTTATAGATGATATGCAAGGGAGAAAATTAATACTAAAATAAAATAAATTAGATACGAGAAGTGCAACTGCAGCCTCGGCTTCTCAATGCGTGCCCTGTAAGACTGTACAAACACGATGTTTAAAAATTTATTATTCAGATAAAAATGCACCATGTTGAAACTTACCCCAATATCATAAAAACCTTGGTATCTTTGTTGTGGATCTTGTGTTCTGTTTGCATCGTAATTCAATGATATGTTGGGGTTGGAATTTCCCTCGGTTGGTAACTAGCACATAACAGACATGAAGTTTAGAATGTTATGCAATGAAAAATTATACCACTGTTCAAGGAGTGATAGATAAATAGCCGTGCCATGGTATGTATTATAAGATCTAAATTAAACAAAAGACGAAATTATAGTAAGCCCTTACGAGAGAGAGAGAGAGAGAGAGAGAGACAGAGAGAGAGAGAGATCTTGAATAATGTTCTCCACCTGAACAATATCTGGCAGTACGGTATGCTATATTTAAAATGTAAACTGTGGATACCAGAAATATGGAGTAGCCTACACTTAAGCCAATTAATAATGGTCAAAAGTACATGTACATCCAGTTCAATTCACTTGAATCAGCATTGTGTGTGTTTGTATCAAAAGTGAAACTAGGGGTAACTCTCTGGATGAAATCTATAGCTACCCTGGAAGGCTATTCAAGTGAATTTCAAGTTTTATGGCTGCTGTCATGCATCAGACAGCACATCATCTCAGTTAAGATCTGAAATACACATCGATTCCTGCCTGAGAAAATGAAAAACCTTTACCTCGTCATTTGTGCGAGTCGCCATCCTTGTTTTTCTGGTAAAATTGTGGGAAATTCCCCGCTTCTAAAAATAATTAAGTGGACTGCTGTAGCAATCCTCTTCGCTCGCACATAACACAATGTTACTTTTCGTAGCTATCATTACAATCATATTAAGAAACTGATGAGGGTGAACTTTTTTTTTTTTTTTTTTTTTTGAGGGAGGGTGGGGGGAGTTAAACTGAGAATAGTTGAGCTGCATTCAATTACCACACCTAAGCTTACGTTCGTATTTTTATAAGTACTATCCTTACGCCCAATTGAAATGTTTTCTCTAGTCCACATTACCGGTATTTTATTTCAGATTCAAAGGGTACAAACTATAAGCCCATATATTAATTCAAATTTAAAAAAGGAACAACCATTTCTGAACCCTTCTTATTCAGAGGGCATTGTGCTTTATTTATTATGAATAAAACGTGATCACAATTCAAACCCAAGCATATGGACCGAAATGCAAAATATAATGTACTCTTGTTAAAACAGTATACAATTACAGTATACAGCATGAGGAGAACACTGAATATGACTATGACTAGGCACAGTGTTGCATGATGTGCAATTGATCAAGATGAGATCATGAAAATGGTTCTGCTTCGGGCACACATGTGACACCCTCCTACAGGTACTACACTGTACCGGTAGTACAAGAAGCCAGAAACTACTGCCTCTTCCCCCAATCAAATTTGTCGTGTCAATTAAAAATTATGACACTTACACTGAATTGATATATTCTAAAAAGCAATAATTAAAACAATGTTTGTATTAGCGTTTTTATGCAGTTCCTGAGAACAAGACGTTTTTTATCACAAAATACATTAAATCACTTTCTAAAAATGTCCACATGGAGTTGGCAGTGAAGTCAAAATATTTCCTAAAATGTTCCTCACTAGTTTGAATACAATTCTAGTTTTTACATGCCAAATATTTAACAAATAAGCACAAGAGTGCATTCCACATCATGTTTATGTTTATGATTAAATTTTAACTTATACTTGGTATACAAGTAAAACAACATGCCAGTAGTACAGTAAATAGTTTTAAATTTTGCAGTGGCAGAGTGGCATTTGACACAATCAGCACCCGCCAATTAGAGTAATTCAAATGTTAACAGTCTTTACATAAGATGTCCATTTCTCTCACAGTACTCAGATATTTTAGGGTCATACTGGTACTAGTACTGTATAGGGGTTCAATGCCTTAAACTGACCCATTTTCCTGACCTGGTCCCCTGTCCCTTTTATTTTAACAAGTGTGAAAAACAAATTTAACTCCACTACTAGTGATAATATGGCGGGCAGTGATAAGATTTTAACAGGAAAAATAAACCCAGAATATATGAGACTGAAATAAACATTGAACTTTCTTGCCAAACACAACAAACATGGCTTAACAGAAACAGGTCAAAGTATTTTAAACTAAAACAATTGAAATACTAAATGCAAAAATAAGTGACAGTGGGAAAACCACAGCAATTACTTGACACAAAACTGATGAATGAATACCATTTAACGGCTAAATACCATATGGTTTCTCAACAATTTAAAACCATACACTAGCTATTGGCTATGAATAAATTTCATGTATGGGTTTTTTTGTGGCAATCAAAGTACATATGAGACTTAAATACAGTAAAAGTAAACTTGATTCAGTCTATTGCACTTTTTCATGTTAATGTAACTTACAAAGTACATATCTGAGATCAAATCTTTCAAGGGACAAATTCTAATAAGGTGCATTGCAATTTACTCCAAAGTGTTGTGCGTCCAATCTCTCTCATTATCTACAGTATGAATGCGAGTTTTGCCAAAAGGGAAGCATACTCACAAATTCCATTGGTCCCATAACAATTAGTTATAACTAAGTGATTTTAAAAGTCCTCTTTTCCTCTGTGGTCAAGTCTGGAAATTAGGGTGGCTTAATGGAAGTGCTACAATAATAAATCACACTTAAATTTCTCTTATACATACATATCATTTTGGTCTCTAAGATATCGCATTTTATACAATGTGCCTGTACTTGTGCAAACTATGTGACATGGATTCAAATAACATATGGCTTAAATCATGCCACAGCAAATCATACTTTAATACTACATCACATAAATAATAAAAGATAAGTAAAATACAGGTTCCTTTTGAAAATGATGAAATGTCTGGAACAAAGACTAATGATTCAAGGCAGTGACTTAACAGAATCTACACAGTACAATTCTTTTTTCCAGGACCAAAATGGCGTGTGTCACACTTCAGCTCACTAAGGTCACCTATGATGCTCTCGAATGCTTCATGCATCACGGACAGTTCACTTGCTGAGATCATACCACTGCTGTACTGGATCATCTCATTAAGTCTTTTGACATCTCTCCTGTAATCACTGGCAACTTCTAGGGTCTTCATTTCTATACTCCTTTTAAGTTGCTAAGTACAGTACAAACTAATCATTCCTCAGCATCCTAGATGTTGACATCATCTGGAAAGCTCACTGATCAGTTCATTGAAGTCCGTTACAAACCACTCGGCCTCCAGCTGGACTTTTTGTCTGATCTGATTGCCACCAAATCCAATAAATGCATCCTGGAAAAAAAACGTTAACTCATGTATTCATACAATTTTTCTTTCAGATTTAATTTTCAACATTTGGTAAACCTGTAATATGAAACTTATCACTAAAAACTTATGCATATTCCATTATGAAGGCAGCTTATTCATAGCCCATTGCATTCAAAAAATTCAAGCACAAGCTCCGAAATTTTCATGAGTGGCGCATGCCGTTTTTCCATATAATGCACATATTATTGTAACATTTTTGCATCCCTGATATGCCATTTTTAATAAAAAATAAGAAAGAAAAATATCTTACCCCTGGTGGACAGGCTTCCATATCAGTGGCCCCATCTCCTATCATCACAAGTTTCTGATAACCATACTTCTTCTTCAAGATACTGATGACACGCCCTTTGCCTCCGGATTCTGATGTTGGCTGTTCCTTGTCAAAACCTGCATACTTCCCTGCAGATTGAACATAGGGTAAATGTTTAGGAACTGACTAACATCAAAAATAAAAGTCAATTCACAATTAAAATTTGACGTCTGATTTAATACCATCTCACAAAGCTTCACTTAATTATGTAGTTCATTTTCAATTGTGTAACATGTATTCATCAGCTTAAATTTTTTAAAATACTTAATTCTATGGACAGTCCATCTATTATTAAAGGGATAATAACTCTTCATACGAGTTCCATATTTTGCAATAAAAACATTGTGAACAACTTATAGAAATATCATATATTCTGTTTTACCACAAAAACGGCAGTTATAGCTATTATTCTGATAACTGAGCTTGTCTTTAGACCACGTGACCTCCATTGATGGCAATACTCTGTTATAATCTCTTAAGAAATTATAACAAAAAAACAAACTTTTGAGAAAAAAACAAGGACTAACTTTGAATGTAAACATGGATTCACTAACCATTGGTAAGTATGGGAAAATTATTGTTTACTCCAGGAAAATTATTTTTTTGGCCAGAATGAAGAGTCATTATCCCTTTAACATGTTATATTTTATTTTGTTTGACAGAATCCTTTGGCAATTTTCAGTCAATAATTCCAATAACAGTTAAATAAAATGTACAGAATGGTAAATTTTATACAATGGAACACATTTTTGTTGGAAATTTTAAACCAATATATGGAAAGGGAGCCCAGTTTTGTCACACACACACACACACACACACACACACACACACACACACACATTTTGAATGCTGGTATCCTTACCATCTTCAAATAATAAAACGTTCGCAAAGACCCTATCAGCTGGTATCTTTANTTTTTTTTTTTTTTTTTTTTTTTTTTTTGAGGGAGGGTGGGGGGAGTTAAAATGAGAATAGTTGAGCTGCATTCAATTACCACACCTAAGCTTACGTTCGTATTTTTATAAGTACTATCCTTACGCCCAATTGAAATGTTTTCTCTAGTCCACATTACCGGTATTTTATTTCAGATTCAAAGGGTACAAACTATAAGCCCATATATTAATTCAAATTTAAAAAAGGAACAACCATTTCTGAACCCTTCTTATTCAGAGGGCATTGTGCTTTATTTATTATGAATAAAACGTGATCACAATTCAAACCCAAGCATATGGACCGAAATGCAAAATATAATGTACTCTTGTTAAAACAGTATACAATTACAGTATACAGCATGAGGAGAACACTGAATATGACTATGACTAGGCACAGTGTTGCATGATGTGCAAATGATCAAGATGAGATCATGAGAATGGTTCCGCTTCGGGCACACATGTGACACCCTCCTACAGGTACTACACTGTACCGGTAGTACAAGAAGCCAGAAACTACTGCCTCTTCCCCCAATCAAACACTTGTTACAATTATTTGTCGTGTCAATTAAAAATTATGACACTTACACTGAATTGATATATTCTAAAAAGCAATAATTAAAACAATGTTTGTATTAGCGTTTTTATGCAGTTCCTGAGAACAAGACGTTTTTTATCACAAAATACATTAAATCACTTTCTAAAAATGTCCACATGGAGTTGGCAAAATATTTCCTAAAATGTTCCTCACTAGTTTGAATACAATTCTAGTTTTTGCATGCCAAATATTTAACAAATAAGCACAAGAGCCTTCCACATCATGTTTATGTTTATGATTAAATTTCAACTTATACTTGGTATACAAGTAAAACAACATGCCATTAGTACAGTAAATAGTTTTAAATTTTGCAGTGGCAGAGTGGCATTTGACACAATCAGCACCCGCCGAGTAATTCAAATGTTAACAGTCTTTACATAAGATGTCCATTTCTCTCACAGTACTCAGATGTTTTAGGGTCATACTGGTACTAGTACTGTATAGGGGTTCAATGCCTTAAACTGACCCATTTTCCTGACCTGGTCCCCTGTCCCTTTTATTTTAACAAGTGTGAAAAACAAATTTAACTCCACTACTAGTGATAATATGGCGGGCAGTGATAAGATTTTAACAGGAAAAATAAACCCAGAATATATGAGACTGAAATAAACATTGAACTTTCTTGCCAAACACAACAAACATGGCTTAACAGAAACAGGTCACAGTATTTTAAACTAAAACAATTGAAATACTAAATGCAAAAATAAGTGACAGTGGGAAAACCACAGCAATTACTTGACACAAAACTGATGAATGAATACCATTTAACGGCTAAATACCATATGGTTTCTCAACAATTTAAAACCATACACTAGCTATTGGCTATGAATAAATTTCAAGTATGGGTTTTTTTGTGGCAATCAAAGTACATATAAGACTTAAATACAGTAAAAGTAAACTTGATTCAAAGTCTATTGCACTTTTTCATGTTAATGTAACTTACAAAGTACATATCTGAGATCAAATCTTTCAAGGGACAAATTCTAATAAGGTGCATTCCAATTTACTCCAAAGTGTTGTGCGTCCAATCTCTCTCATTACCTACAGTATGAATGCGAGTTTTGCCAAAAGGGAAGCATACTCACAAATTCCATTGGTCCCATAACAATTAGTTATAACTAAATGATTTTAAAAGTCCTCTTTTCCTCTGTGGTCAAGTCTGAAAATTAGGGTGGCTTAATGCCAGTGCTACAATAATAAATCACACTTAACTTTCTCTTATACATACATATCATTTTGGTCTCTAAGATATCGCACTTTATACAATGTGCCTGTACTTGTGCAAACTATGTGACATGGATTCAAATAACATATGGCTTAAATCATGCCATAGCAAATCATATTTTAATACTACATCACATAAATTATAAAAGATAAGTAAAATACAGGTTCCTTTTGAAAATGATGAAATGTCTGGAACAAAGACTAATGATTCAAGGCAGTGACTTAACAGAATCTACACAGTACAATTCTTTTTTCCAGGACCAAAATGGAGTGTGTCACACTTCAGCTCACTAAGGTCACCTATGATGCTCTCAAATGCTTCATGCATCACGGACAGTACACTTGCTGAGAACATACCACTGCTGTACTGGATCATCTCATTAAGTCTTTTGACATCTCTCCTGTAATCACTGGCAACTTCCAGGGTCTTCATTTCTATACTCCTTTTAAGTTGCTAAGTACAGTACAAACTAATCATTCCTCAGCATCCTAGATGTTGACATCATCTGGAAAGCTCACTGATCAATTCATTGAAGTCCGTTACAAACCACTTGGCCTCCAGCTGGACTTTTTGTCTGATCTGATTGCCACCAAATCCAATAAATGCATCCTGGAAAAAAAACGTTAACTCATGTATTCATACAATTTTTTTTTTTCAGATTTAATTTTCAACATTTGGTAAACCTGTAATATGAAAATTATCACTAAAAACTTATGCATATTCCATTATGAAGGCAGCTTATTCATAGCCCATTGCATTCAAAAAATTCAAGCACAAGCTCCGAAATTTTCATGAGTGGCGCATGCCGTTTTTCCATATAATGCACATATTATTGTAACATTTTTGCATCCCTGATATGCCATTTTTAATCAAAAATAAGAAAGAAAAATATCTTACCCCTGGTGGACAGGCTTCCATATCAGTGGCCCCATCTCCTATCATCACAAGTTTCTGATAACCATACTTCTTCTTCAAGATACTGATGACACGCCCTTTGCCTCCGGATTCTGATGTTGGCTGTTCCTTGTCAAAACCTGCATACTTCCCTGCAGATTGAACATAGGGTTCAATGTTTAGGAACTGACTGACATCAAAAATAAAAGTCAATTCACAATTAAAATTTGACGTCTGATTTAATACCATCTCACAAAGCTTCACTTAATTATGTAGTTCATTTTCAATTGTGTAACATGTATTCATCAGCTTAAATTTTTTTAAAATACTTAATTCTATGGACAGTCCCTCTATTATTAAAGGGATAATAACTCTTCATATGAGTTCCATATTTTGCAATAAAAACATTGTGAACAACTTATAGAAATATCATATATTCTGTTTTACCACAAAAACGGCAGTTATAGCTATTATTCTGATAACTGAGCTTGTCTTTAGACCACGTGACCTCTATTGATGGCAATACTCTGTTATAATCTCTTAAGTAATTATAACAAAAAAACAAACTTTTTAGAAAAAAACAAGGACTAACTTTGATTGTAAACATGGATTCACTAACCATTGGTAAGTATGGGAAAATTATTGTTTACTCCAGGAAAATTATTTTTTTGGCCAGAATGAAGAGTCATTATCCCTTTAACATGTTATATTTTATTTTGTTTGACAGAATCTTTTGGCAATTTTCAGTCAATAATTCCAATAACAGTTTAAATAAAATGTACAGAATGGTAAATTTTATACAATGGAACACATTTTTGTTGGAAATTTTAAACCAATATATGGAAAGGGAGCCCAGTTTTGTCACACACACACACACACACACACACACACACACACACACACACATTTTGAATGTTGGTATCCTTACCATCTTCAAATAATAAAACGTTCGCAAAGACCCTATCAGCTGGTATCTTCAATAGTCTTGCAGCGGGCAGGATCACCTGTTTAAAGCCACCAGACACTAAGTATACAGGGACCCCTCGTCTTTGGAGAAGCTTAATGAGAGTTCTACAAAACAAACAGTATTCATTTAGAACAAAATTAGATTAAGTATTCATTTAATACATTAAAAATTCAATCAGCAAATAAAAAACAAAAGCATGTGGTCTTAATAAATAAATAAAGAAGACCCATCTTGTTTCTTGTTTTTTTCTTCTTTCTAATTTGTGCAACTATCCTCCGCTGCACACAGAAACCTGTAAAACCTACAGTGTACTGTGCCTTCTAGATACCTATCTGTACTGATGATGCTATTTTTCACATGATATGGACAGAGTTTTTAGTACTGAAATATCTCTTTTCAAAAGTTTGTGCATTCAAAGCCATGTTACAAATTACATTTTCTTTTAATCCAGCTCTTTTTTTATTTTAATTATTATTTTAAGTACCATTAATTTTTCTTTTAAAAGATAACAGTCATAAGTATACAAAGAGATGTTACATATTTTAGAACAAATACAAAATAATAACATACTCTATTCCTTTGGTAAACTTTGGTGGGTTGTTCTCCACAAAATCTTGTACTTGTTTTTCCGTTGCATTTATAATCTTTAGTCTTTCTTGAAGAGCCTCACGGAATGATACTGAACCTCCCATAGCTTTCTTAGTCCTGAAATACATGCAAAGAAAAATAATAGATTTAATTTGATTAGTTTATAACAACTAGGGACTTCTTGGGGCCTTCCTGCATGCACAAATTATACAACTGATGGTGGGTGTTCTTTTATTCATTAAGGAAAAAAATCTCCAAGGCTAGTGCTGAAGTTCAAAACAAGTCAACTGATTGTTAAGAAGTCCAAAGTTAACAGAAGTTAAGTTTATTATATTTTTTTTTACAAAATGCGTATAAACATGTTAGCTTGTGCTTCAACATTCTCAAAATCTTATTTCTTTTTTCTACTTTTTTCTTCTGGTGGTAGGTGGGGGTGGGGGGGCAGGAGAGAAAATCTACATAGCCAGCTTAACTAGAAAAATGCTCACATGCTGGAAAAGTTTAAGCACCTGATAAAAGGTCAATGTTCCATGCCTTTTCTTATCTTACAGTTACCCAAAATAAACTCACCACGCTGCAACTTGCTCCCCAACTCCACAAAATTCTGCCATTTCATCTATAGCTTCATCCTCTATCACTGTAGAGTCCACATCAAAGCAGACAGCGTCTGCTGACCTCCAGATTTGCTTCACAGCTTCTTTGGTCAGCATGTTGATGTGATGGTGCTCTGTAAAGTAGAATTCTCTCTTTAAAATAGTTGAATTACGGATTTTATTAGACTCTCTTGCTGAGTGACATTCTCTGACCATATCACCTCCATTAAAGTAGTATAATGTCATGCACTGGGGTGATATTTGCATGATACACTCATGAGCACACAAATGACTACTTAATTAAAATATTCAGGAGAGAAAGAAGAACTCTAGATATGTTTTTACATTTAACTGAACAAAGAATTTACACTCAAATCCAAGTTTTTTGATGCTTAAAAAGTAAAATAAAATACTTTTTATTAATAATACTGACATGCTTAAAAAGTCAGACACTTAAAAATAATATTTTTGACATATATATAACTATAACCTTAAATATTTTAGTAAANAAATTGCGTATAAACATGTTAGCTTGTGCTTTAACATTCTCAAAATCTTATTTCTTTTTTCTACTTTTTTCTTCTGGTGGTAGGTGGGGGTGGGGGGGGGGCAGGAGAGAAAATCTACATAGCCAGCTTAACTAGAAAAATGCTCACATGCTGGAAAAGTTTAAGCACCTGATAAAAGGTCAATGTTCCATGCCTTTTCTTATCTTACAGTTACCCAAAATAAACTCACCACGCTGCAACTTGCTCCCCAACTCCACAAAATTCTGCCATTTCATCTATAGCTTCATCCTCAATCACTGTAGAGTCCACATCAAAGCAGACAGCGTCTGCTGACCTCCAGATTTGCTTCACAGCTTCTTTGGTCAGCATGTTGATGTGATGGTGCTCTGTAAATTAGAATTCTCTCTTTAAAATAGTTGAATTACGGATTTTATTAGACTCTCTTGCTGAGTGACATTCTCTGACCATATCACCTCCATTAAAGTAGTATAATGTGATGCACTGGGGTGATATTTGCATGATACACTCATGAGCACACAAATGGCTAATTAAAATATTCAGGAGAGAAAGAAGAACTCTAGATATGTTTTTACATTTAACTGAACAAAGAATTTACACTCAAATCCAAGTTTTTTGATGCTTAAAAAGTAAAATAAAATACTATTTATTAATAATACTGACATGCTTAAAAAGTCAGACACTTAAAAATAATATTTTTGACATATATATAACTATAACCTTAAATATTTTAGTAAAAAATTAACCACTATTCTGCCCAGTTTTAAACTCAGACATATATACCTGATTTTTCTCTCCTTGGCTTCTAAAAAGAGGATGATTACATGTATTCCGTATGATTTCACTTATGATTTCAAATAGTCTTTGCTTCATTATTTCAAAAGGACGCAACATGTTAGTATGATGCAAATGTGTACATGGTTCACACTTAAAAACATGACTTTAAAATCAAGTGGAACTAAGAAGACCAAAAACTTACTGTGAACATAATTCACATTTTTCACTTCAGAAATCTATTCATTTAAACAGTTTGCACTCTGGCATGCATGTACATGGTAATAGAATGCACTTACATTGAAATTTTGGCTACTATAAAATAGTCATTTCATCATCCTCATTTACATTGTCACATCCTTTCCTGCTAACACTGTGACAGTCTACGACATTAACCACTGGCTCTAATGAATATGCTAATAAAAATTGGGACCGGGCTGGTAAAATTTCTGAAAAACAGTTAACTACTGGCCTGACCAGGTCAGTGGATTTTTTTCTACTGTAACATGTACTCCAATTCCTTTTATAAATGTACAGGCTAAATGTTGAAGTTTTTTTTTTTTTTTATAACTCTTAAAAATATCACGGTTTTGTTCTTATTTGTAATAGAACCCATTTAATATATATATGAAAATTGAAAATTGGACCTGAGCTTGGACCTGAGCCAGTGAATTTTGATTTCATGCACTGTATGTTTAATTCTCATTAACTTTTTTAAAAATCTTTTTCTTTTTGTTCCAATTTTCCTGAATATTTTGAGAAAAAATGCAATGAAGGACTTTGAATGTTGCAATGCCTGGCATGTCAGCTGAATCATAGTTCTAAACCATGCCAAATGGCACCGTTCGCCCTCTGAAATACCATAATTTTTCAGGGCCCTTAAGCGGACCCCCCCCCCCCCCCCCCCCTTAAAATAATCCTGGATCCGCCCCTGGACTATTCATTGTATGCTTTATAAATTTGCAGTCTTCATTAAGACGAAAATATCACATCATTTTTCGTCCATAACAACCAAATACACGCATGGGCAACGCGTAACCTGTCCCAGTTGTAATTCAACTTTCATATTACTAATTATGTTTAATAATTCGACTCGCAATTAAATGCCACAATTTAATAGAAAACAGCTAGATCGACCAAAACTTACCGGTGACAGCGGAGGACGAGCCAAAGGAAATGGAAGCTGATGAAAACGCACGTCGCTTATATATGCCGGCGATCAGCTGTTTCTTCCATGACATATCAAATTAAATCGTTCGGCTGATGCAAGCTAAGGATCACGCTCTACTCACATGCACAGAAAACGTACCTTACTTTTTGTCAACCACAGCGTACAGCATAAATATTGGGGAAATATTAAGGCAAAAAATGCTGGTCATGGAATGTGTAGCTTGGCTTGACGCTGTTAAACAAAGGAATGGGATGGGGGGTTTTCGGTGGAATTTTCCTTCACACCTTTGTTCTGGAGGTTCTCTTGGATTTTGCCGGGTAAGTACAATACTGACACCTTGCGTCACTGAGACAAACTAATAGTATTTATTCAGGTGTGCCGCAAAGATCTTTGGGTAGATCTACAGTAACCTGACACCAATAATAAGGCAACATTTAACTTGTATCGTTTTTCAGCGTTATTCTTTTGTCAGTGACATGGAAAAACGATAAACACNATAACTATAACCTTAAATATTTTAGTAAAAAATTAACCACTATTCTTCCCAGTTTTAAACTCAGACATACATACCCGATTTTTCTCTCCTTGGCTTCTAAAAAGAGGATGATTACATGTATTCCGTATGATTTCACTTATGATTTCAAATAGCCTTTGCTTCATTATTTCAAAAGGACGCAACATGTTAGTATGATGCTAATGTGTACATGCTTCACACTTAAAAACATGACTTTAAAATCAAGTGGAACTAAGAAGACCAAAAACTTACTGTGAACATAATTCACATTTTTCACTTCAGAAATCTATTCATTTAAACAGTTTGCACTCTGGCATGCATGTACATGGTAATAGAATGCACTTACATTGAAATTTTGGCTACTATAAAATAGTCATTTCATCATCCTCATTTACATTGTCACATCCTTTCCTGCTAACACTGTGACAGTCTACGACATTAACCACTGGCTCTAATGAATATGCTAATAAAAATTGGGACCGGGCTGGTAAAATTTCTGAAAGTTAACTACTGGCCTGACCAGGTCAGTGGATTTTTTTCTACTGTAACATGTACTCCAATTCCTTTTATAAATGTACAGGCTAAATGTTGAATTTTTTTTTTTTTTAATAACTCTTAAAAAATATCACGGTTTTGTTCTTATTTGTAATAGAACCCATTTAATATATATATATATATATATATATATATATATATATATATATATATATATATATATAATTTTTTTTTTTTTTTTTTTTTTTTGAAAATTGGACCTGAGCTTGGACCTGAGCCAGTGAATTTTGATTTCATGCACTGTATGTTTAATTCTCATTAACTTTTTTAAAAATCTTTTTCTTTTTGTTCCAATTTTCCTGAATATTTTGAGAAAAAATGCAATGAAGGACTTTGAATGTTGCAATGCCTGGCATGTCAGCTGAATCATAGTTCTAAACCATGCCAAATGGCACCGTTCGCCCTCTGAAATACCATAAGTTTTCAGGGCCCTTAAGCGGACCCCCCTCCCCCCTTAAAATAATCCTGGATCCGCCCCTGGACTACACTGTATTCATTGTATGCTTTATAAATTTGCAGTCTTCATTAAGACGAAAATATCATATCATTTTTCGTCCATAACAACCAAATACACGCATGGGCAACGCGTAACCTGTCCCAGTTCTAATTCAACTTCCATATTACTAATTATGTTTAATAATTCGACTCGCAATTAAATGCCACAATTTAATAGAAAACAGCTAGATCGACCAAAACTTACCGGTGACAGCGGAGGACGAGCCAAAGGAAATGGAAGCTGATGAAAACGCACGTCGCTTATATATGCCGGCGATCAGCTGTTTCTTCCATGACATATCAAATTAAATCGTTCGGCTGATGCAAGCTAAGGATCACGCTCTACTCACATGCACAGAAAACGTACCTTACTTTTTGTCAACCACAGCGTACAGCATAAATATTGGGGAAATATTAAGGCAAAAAATGCTGGTCATGGAATGTGTAGCTTGGCCTGACGCTGTTAAACAAAGGAATGGGATGGGGGGTTTTCGGTGGAATTTTCCTTCACACCTTTGTTCTGGAGGTTCTCTTGGATTTTGCCGGGTAAGTACAATACTGACACCTTGCGTCACTGAGACAAACTAATAGTATTTATTCAGGTGTGCCGCAAAGATCTTTGGGTAGATCTACATGCAGTAACCTGACACCAATAATAAGGCAACATTTAACTTGTAGCGTTTTTCAGCGTTATTCTTTTGTCAGTGACATGGAAAAACGATAAAGTCCTAAACCATCCGGTTAAACTATTAGAATCTACTATAGATCTTGCGATCTTAGGATTTACATCGCACTAGGCCATATGCTTCACATTCGAAGAGAAATTAACCTGAATACCCTACACACCTATATTATATTACTGTGGCGGATTTTTTCAATTATTATTATTATTTATTATTATTTTTTTGGGGAGGGAGGGGGGGTCAGGGGAGTCCTGATCTCCCCTTCAATTTCTGGAAAAAAAACACACACCAAAGGCTCCGTCTTCAAATTAGAATTTTTACTAGCGGAATTATAGTTCCGAACCCCACGCGAAGGGGGGGGGGGTCTGCTTTCCATCCACAGACCCCCCTACAAATAATCCTGGATCCGCCCCGTTATTACTGTATGTTGTTGAATAAGATACTGCTACTTAAATCTGAATAGGCCTAGCTATTAGTTCACATTGAATATACCGAAATTCATCGAAATTTTGGATTATATTTAACTAAATATTTTCATGTGGGCGTCTTTTTCTGTTTTTGAGGTGTAACAAAAACAGTTTTAGTTAAACTCTGATAAAGTTCGCTGTCACACGCTGTAAATCTAGATTATGGTCCACGTTGCGAGCTGATATTAGCAGCGATAGCACTAGATCTACGCCACGGCACAACCTGTATTGCGAACAATGGCAATGTGTTCGCGAGTGACGTTATCGTATGTCACGAACACGTTCTCTAACGTCAACGCTGCCTTGCGTTCCTGCTGCATCCGGCAGACTAACTTTGGAATCTGCAACGACAGCACGCTGATCAGCAGACTTCTTAGCCATGGCACCAAAGAGGGCTCGTTCTCGTAGTAGAAGTGCAAAATCACCTGTGCGCAGGGTAGCTGGCGGTGTTACCAAGAGAAGAACTAAGAGAGGTAATTTTTTTTTCATTTATTGTTTAGTTTTGTTATGTGTTACATTTATTATTGGTATTGAAAAGTTACTAGAATTTCGGTAACCACTTGATAAGTAGAGCCATCTATCTGTTCTCTCTCTCTCTCTCTTTTGTGCAAAATAGTTTTAATCATTATTAGTTTTTTTAACTTTGTTAAAAAAACAAAACAAAGCATCGATTTAAAATTTAGATTTGGGTTTTTATATATTGACTGTACTTGATTTTCTTACTTCAAAAAAAAATTATTTTCTAGCCGCCAGACCAAAATCCCGAGTCAGAAAAGCAGCCAAAGCCGTGGCTAAGGTAATTTTTTTCGTTCGGTTAATATCTGTTATTTGAAAAATACCAAGAATAAGAACTTGCCTTAAACCCCCTAGCATTACTTACTTTATCATTCGCTAATTGAATTTATGTTAACTTTCTTTTTATTTTTCAGAGGGCACGCTCTAGATCGGGTCGTCGCCGTAGCCGTTCAAAATCTGCCCGTCGCGCCCGTCGTAGTCGCTCCAAAAAGGCTGCAGCAGCTGCAGCAGCAGCAGCAGCTGAAGAAGTGGCTGCAGCAGTAGCTCCCGCTCGAAAAAGGAAAGCCCGCTCTGCATCCAAACGTAGAGGACGATCTGCTTCTAAGCGATCTCGCTCAAGAAGCAAGAAACGTGCCCGCTCCGCCAGCAGGAAGAGGCGTGGCCGTTCAGCTAGCAAGAGAAGACGTGCCCGTTCTGCAAGTAAACGTGGCCGTTCCCGCAGCGCCAGACGTTCCCGATCCCGCAAGGCCAGTAAGGCACGCTCCAAGTCCCGCAGGCGCCGCTCCCGCTCCCGTAAAGCAAGCAAGGCACGCAGGGCTCCACGCAGAGCTCGCAAAGCTCCTGCACGCAGAAGAAGAAGAAGAAGAGCAAGAAAGAGCGCATGAAAGCAGATTGGACCAACTCCCAACCCTTTTACTTTTTGGACAATCAGAACATGACATTTAGGCATTTAAACTCATCATATATCTAAAGACATACACGTCTATTCAGAAATAATATTTATCAAAACATTGGCTGAGTACGATGGTTAGTGAACAAAGTTGCCCCAGGGCACGGCTTACGGAAGAAATGAATAAACATAAAAATCAAATCAATTTTTGTTGGGTTTTCATTTTTCTTTTCTGTTGTTTTCCATGCACGCGGCTGAAATTATGGTTGTGTGAAATTTCTATTAAACATTTTTTTACTAAGGATTATGGAATAGAGTCGCCAATCACAGTAATACAATGCTCAACAAAATATTTGTCAAATCGAGAGATCAAAACTTTTCGTTCTTTCATTTTGCTCTTCAATTAGTGTCAGCGAAAAAAAAGCAAGTTTTGGCATGAATACCATTTTAAATAGAATGGCTTGGTATAATAATAATAATAATAATAATAATAATAATAATAATAATAATAATAAAGCGTGCTAAGAAAAAATATTCCATCTATGACATTTCTCTGCTTTAGATCTACATATATTTATAGTCACCTTATTTTTTTTTCTCTCAGTCAACATCATTATTGAGAACCATTTTGTTTTACTATTCTATTCGAGTATATGTCATTTTGTCACCAATGCAAGATTGTCATAATTAATTGTCTTAAATGAACAATATCTTAGGCCTTTCTTTATACTTCATTTTATGCTTCTACCGAATGTACGAATGTACGAATGCGTTAGTTGAGAATATGTGAATATCGTTGATGGAGACAAAATTTGCAACCTGGAGAGGGAAGCTCTTAAAAATACATTCTTATTTTGAGAGTTCACCGCCAAGACATAGATGTAGATGTTTTAACAGAAAAATAACGGCTATGCCACTGTAACATTCGATTAGTATCAACGTTTGGATTATAATAATATCTAAAGCAGCATTCATTTCAATAAAGAAAAATCACCCTGTATTTCATTGACTGGGTATTTATTTTGAAAACAGACCATGACATTTTTTCTTATACGTTATTTTTACGGCAACATCAATTTCAATAAAGTGTAAGACGATAACGCAATTATTCAACTAATGCTATTTTAATCATTTAATGCTAAGAGCGTATAAAATTGCAATGTATATGTAGACCTATGACTTGATAGGCTCCATATAGTAATCTTAATTCAAGTTTGTATTTGATGGCTAGTCATCCGTAGAGAATGAATAATATTTACCAGAACGGCTGTTGATACAGAAAGCATTCAAATATCTGTATTTATGAGAAAGTGGATTAGGTAGACATCTTTGTTCCGCAATCTGAAGAAATGTATACAGCAAACTTTCAAACAACAGTTTGTGAACATAAATGTACTGAATGGGTATGAATAGCGCGTGTGTACTACTAGCCATACGTATTTACATTAGTATTGAGAGCGTATCACTATGCAACCACTGCTTCACACGCACGCCGATAGTGGTGTGCAATCGGCTATGATGCCCTGTGTGTATGTATGTCAAGTCATACTGTTTAGAGACCTGCGCGAAGAGGGAAACAAATATCAGAGTCCACTTTTACTGGGGTAGTTATGCTCGGATATACCTAGTGTAAGAAAAATAATCCAGTTGATGTTAAATTTCTTTGGATTCTGAAATAGGCAGAGGAAACTCGAAGAGACGATTGCTTATAAATTTCCGCCAGTAGGAGTCGAGGTGTATTGAACACAGAGTGAATAAGATGACCGCCGCTCCACGAGGGCCATTATATAAATGAATTAAAATGTCCAAGAAAAAGGTGAGTAACCCTATCGAAAGAGTTTGAATGGCCATAAAAATTGCTACTTGTTTTATATACGGTTAACATTTTAGGATTTTTTCACATTTCAACTGTTTATCAGTACGCATTTGTAGGCACACATTACTCCGATCACTGACTTAGTATTTCGATTTAGCAAGTATTCTGTCACATGATATCTAAACCTGAATACATATATTTTGTATGTAGTTTGTGTCAAGTGCCTTCTGTGGAATTTCTCTTATTGTATATAACTGATCATTCGAGAAGGTTTGACTCAGGGAAAATTGTTTGGACCCGCATAGCAAGGAGTGATTTATCACTTATCAACATTTGCATGGTAACGGGCCGTGCTTGATGGATAAGCTAAAGTCCCAGACATTCAGTGCTGCACAGCAGAGATTGCTACTACTGCGCGCGCTTTATTTCATTTTATCCTTGGCAACTATGTAAACACAAAACACTGCAACCGTACATTAAAGCCCAGAAACGTTATTTGGGTCAGGAAAGACTGATTAACCCGCATGTGAATAAGGCAAAGAGCACATATCAAATAAGACACGGATAACAACTTCACGTTATAATATGCTTTCAAGTTTATTGATGTTAGAATATAGATCAACACACACTGAATATTTTCCACACAATGTTAAAGCACCGATGTGGTTGGTTATCATTTATTTTCGATATATAATTATAGCTTTTTTGCTAAACGGACTCCTGCATGAATTCAACCTTTCTTTAATCGGTACAATTCTTTTTCTTATTTCTAATCTAGTTCATGTTTGTTATATCACGCAACGAAAGCCATTTGGTCGTTAGTAAACTTATATCATAGAGTAGTTAAATAAGTCATTGTGATGATTTTCCATTTCCATTATTCGTTACTGAAGCACCTTAATTAACTTGTAAATCAAATATTTGCACAGTCGCATACATTTGTGTATGTCATTACAATAGTTAAAAGCAGAATTTCTGCTTCAACATATACCTATACAGTTTTATTGAGATTTTCTTTACATGTCAATCCTGTCTTGATTATTTTCTCACATTTGACTTTTTCAGGGGGCAAAGGGGAGATCGAAGGCTGGTCTGGTATGTACAATAATTTTGTCGACACATTTTCGAGAAAGCCTCCCATATCCATTAGTACTTTTCAACATCAAAAGAAAAATTTTTTTAATAAAAAGGACAGCACAAAATATTGAGCGGTGCTGCATGTCAACATCTTTTTATCAATTTCTAAAATAGATGGGGGTTTAAGAAATATCCTCTGATACGTTCTCTCACAAAAATATATAGTAGATCGCCTATTATGAACACAGATTTGCATTTGTTGAAATGGGATGTATTTTACTTCCATGTATTTCGACGCTTGTTAGTTTTCTGCACCAGATAATCATTGGAACCATCGCGGACAGACGTGGCAAAAGAAAGACTACGGGCCAACGGTCATGAGTAGGACGGGTCCGTTCAGAATGAGCAATAGCTAGTGCGCGCTTACTCCATGGGGACTCTCGCTGAATGCTATCAGATTAAGATACGAACACGCCTCCTTCTGGCGTTGAGTAGAATGCAGAGAAGCTGGTGATTGTACGAGTACATATAGCAAACAAGAGGAAGATATTTTAATCTGTTAATCTGATTGCATGCAGCAAGAGTTCACGTGGAATAAGTGCGCAGTAGCTATTGCGACCTTACTCATTCTGAACGGCCCCGTATCCGTTCTCTAATCACTGTCTTTTTTTTTTTTTTGCTATACTTGGTCAACTACTGACTACCAGACTATAGCTTTTGTATCTTTTTTATGAAAGCCGTATCACTGCTGATCTGTGTTCCAAATACTGCACCTAAATGCGTCTTTCTCGGGGGGAATTTGTTTAGAATGTTAATTTTATTTAGACTATCAATTATCATGCAGTTTGTGCATAGGCCTATATCCTATATATATATATATATATATATATATATATATATATATATATATATATATATATATATATATATATATATATATGCCTATATGTAATCGTTCATCGATTCAAAGTGCATTGAAAAACCTGCAATAAGATTATTAACTTGAGTAAAAGAATAAGCTCTACGCTCCAGATGCTAGGCATGGAGTTTTAGATTGATAAAAACGACCGCGAGGAAATTAATACTTACAGTGATGGCCTAACTGCGATAAGAAATATTCCCCGTACTGGCTACAAAATATATGTCTTAATTAAATTTTGACCTGAAAATACAATTAAGCACTAACATCTATGGAATGGTTATGGTATTAGGTTTTATGATATGTTTTTGCAAGCTGTAAAAATCAGCTTTGGCTAACGACCCCGGGTTATGATGCTTTTTCTCGCAATAAGCTTGTCTTGGTTGTCGCCACACAGGGCGCTCTTTACCACAGGAGATCATAAAAAGACATAGCAACAATAAGTATCAAAATGGCTTCAAAGGGTAGCCCATCGCAAAGTAGAACTGGTTCTAGGGGTAAGGGTGGGTCATCTGCATCGTCTGCAATGTCTTCAGGCCGAGGAAAGCGGAAGGGAAAGTTCAAGGAGACAAGTTTTGATTCTGTACGTATAGGTATAAACGTTGGGCGAGGTGTTTGCCCAAAGCGTGGAAAGTTGTTTACTAATTAATACAAGAAAGTTTATGCAAGCAATATGAATTATAAGAGTACAACGTCATCTACGCATATCAGGCAAGCGTCTCAAGAAATCACGAATTTGATATCTTATAATATATATTTATGAAAGGGACCTTTTTCTTTACATATGGTCATTTTTAATATGAACTTGCCCTTAGAAATTGTTATTGTACCAGTACATTTCAGTAAAGTACATTTACCGTTATTATAAAATGTGAACCGATATCACCATATACTTGTGTACTGCACCATGACTTGTATATTGCAAAAACCTATGGTTAATTTGTTGTTATAATTTAAAGATAAATGTGAGACCAAAATTGTCAATTTGATTCTTTCAGGATGATGAAAAAGACCAGTCTTTGGCCTACAAAGTTTTGTCTTCAGTACAAACCCAGCAGCTCATGGAATTAGATGTTGATCAGTTACAAAGGTTAAAAAATACTTTATTCAAGTTACTATTAGCACTAGTGTGTTTGAAATGTACATGTCTGTCAATACTAGTACATGTATCCATACCATTGCTCACTTACCACTTGGAGATGCATACTGTAATCATTGCTGAAGTTGGTCATTCTTGTATGTAACAGGCATCAAGGCATTAATCCCAAAAATATCGATGGCACTTTTTTTCTTAAGAGTGTTAAGAGTACTTAAATATTTAACATCCATAATTTAAAAGATTTGAACTGTTTCTTCCTTGCCTGCATATATGTTGTCCAACTATGTTTCATTATTTATTAATAAATATCCTCTTTTGAATGTTTAGCAAAATGGTTGAAGTGATGCAGTTGCCAAATCATACAGCTGACCTTAAAGAGGCAGCAATTTTAGACTACTATGTAGCAGGCTTCTGGTGGGGCAAGGAAAGAGGGTTTACTGTACAGCAACTATCAGGGTTTTTCACAGCTTTACACAGAATACTTGAAAATGTTAAAGGTACTAGTTCTGTTATTTGCATTCTTTGATTTGTGTATGGCATTTGTGTGATCATGGACTGTTTTGGTCAATTTTTTTTTATTTTAAGAAGTGACCACACAAATAAAAAATATAAGATAAATAGATAAAATATTAGAATAAAATATTCTAATATCTATATATTTATTAGTGAATATGATACAAACAGATTTTCACCAATAAGTGGTTACAATAATAAAAAGTTGTTTGCCATGCATTCATGTAGACTTGCACAGAAAAAATTTGGAACATTTGCTGTGTATATTTGGAATGGATTATAATAATTCTTTATGGAGAAGTGTTATAAGTAGAAATTGATTACTTTGAAATGATGTGTATTTGGGATATTTCCACATTGTAAGTCTATCACATTTTTAAACCACAATTTAATCTCTTATGATTTCAGACAAGCATCTGTCAATGGTAGACAATTTGAAAGAGTTCAAGAAAATGCTTGTGGGAGTTGGCCAGGAAAACCCAGAATCCCCAGGAGGACTTGAGTTCTTTGATTTAAATCAAGCAAAGATGGTTGCAGATTATCTACATACTAGGTTTGTAGTTGAAATTACATGTGAATTCTTCTTGTCCTTTTAAACAGCATCAATCATTATAATTCAATATATCCAGTTGAGTTCAGAGGTTCCAAGCAAACATAATAGTTAGTACTCCTAATTCTGAAATGGAGCTAATCTTACTTACATGCATATGTCTGTATTCTAGTAATGTGATGAATTATTTTCTCGTTTAGCATTTTTCAGCACTATAAGCTATATGAATTCATATTTTCCCACACACAAGCAGAGGAAATTATTGGTGCTGATGTAAGTATGTGCAGGGTGTATATAATTTTGTGTATTCAGCAGATCTTGATCATGATGAAAAATTTTCTTTTATAATTGAGTGCTGTTTAAACTAGTTAAATAGACATAAGCATCATACAGCATGGTTACATGTTTATTATTATCATGATCATTTTTTATTGCCATACATAAATGCCAGCAAATTAAGACATTACTAGGTAGATAATTAAAAAGTATTTTAAATTTTAGTTGGATGTCAATGTTGCCAAACCTGCAGATATGCCATGGCCACCTCCCCTAGAGGAAGGAGTGCCAGAGGATATTTTTAATGAACACATTCGCACCCCTCCACCAACACCACCCCCTGAAGTGAGCATTTGATCATTTACATATGTCAGCTAACTTCTTTTAATTATTTGAAGTGTCTCAGGATACTTCCTATCAATGCAGGAGTTTTATCATCAATTTGATGTACATTTTTGATGTAAATTTGTTAGTATAAACATGTATAGTTCCATAATGTAACCTCAGATATATTATAATTTAAAATGTTTTTATGTTGTCTGAATACATGCATGTTATTTAATCTCTTTTTTAATGTTATGGCTTTTTCATTTCATGGTAGCCTGAAGCTGAAGATGGAAATGAGACGCCAGATGATACCAGGTCTAAAGAAGAAATTGCTGCTCAGAAGGAGAGAGAAGCTTTTCTCATGGCGGAATTGGGTTCAGATCAGGTTAAGGCCATCCTCAGCAGTGTGGCTAAAGAAATGATAGGAGGGCTTTCAGTAAGTCAATGCTGATGATGAAATGCCTTCCTATGTTTCATACTGGAATTTTATATTTCACAGATTTTCACAATGTCATATTTCATAAAAGAAAATGTCAACATTCTGCAATATGCTTATTGTTACTGAATCTGATTTAGTCACATTTTAGTGTTAGGGTTTTATTATATTGTTCAAAGTACCCGGTAAGTACAAGTATGCTTCTGTTTCTTAGACATATTTCATTTTGGAGCTCAAATGTCATGGTTACATTTTGTCATTTTTATTTTTCATTCCAGACTGAGATGGCATCCAAATTACGAGAAAGAGAAAACTCTATCATCAACAGGATAAACAAAATCCATAAAGTGGCAGACAGCTGAATGTCATACTACTTGTATTTGGAGGGAAAACTAAGAAAGTTAAAAAGACAGTGTTTTAAAACAGCACAAGGAATTCATTGCCTTTATTCTTTACGGTGTGTGGAAAACCAAGTGCAATGATACAGTAATTTTAACTAGACTTAAAAGAACAAATGTGTTAATACACATCAACAGAGCTTTCTACACTGATGAATGTGCGTTCTGTTACATACACCATTGATTTTATTTGGAATCTATAAACCAAACAACTTTAAAGGTTAAATTTTCCCCCTTTCTTTCTTTTATTTTCATTTTTTTAAACATTACTCTAAGATGTGCTTTATATTCAAAAAGCCTAAGCCTTTGTACATATATGTAAATACATTTAATAAAGTCACAGCAGAGGTTCTTTTTTTTTTGTTTTAAGAAAATAGACATTACACTCTTTAACTGCTAGTTTATAAGGTGTCACTGGAAATCATTTCAAACCATTTTCATTTTTGCGAGCGTAATTTCTGTTTATAGATTCTGCTAAAAGAAGTATAAATTGAAGAAGTATAAACAAACATTGAAGGCCGTTAATCACACTACCCAGTAAATGTGCCAATTTTCTTAAGTTGTCAGTAAAAAAGCATAAATTTTTGTGTTCTTTCGGAACAACTTATCCTTCTAACCAATAAAAAAGCAGCAATAAGGTTGATTTAATTGGTTGCTTAGCAGTGCTCACTCTCTCTCTTCTAGCTTTCCTATGATAGTAACGGTCCAGGTCACAAGAAGGTAGGCATCAATTTGACTTGCCAGCTCACCTCATTGATAGGAAAAAAGTTCCAGTCTAAATGTTCAAATTATGGCATGTTGGCAAAAAGTATGAATTTAATGGAGCCAAAAGTAATTACTTCAGGACATTTGGAGTTCATTACACTTTCAATATTTTACACTCGCAAAAATAGAATAGCATGCTCATTTCTAAATGTATTTTCAAGTCAGACCTTATGGACTACGCATGTCTATAGGCATATCAGGATATCAATAAGTCAGTCCCCTAAAATAGATCTACCCGCTGTGCCCAAGAAAACCTTCTACTTAAAGGGATAATAACTCTTCGTATGAGATCTATATTTCACAATAAAAACATTGTGAATAGCTCATAGAAATATAATATATTCTGTTTTACGACAAAAACAGCAGTTATAGCTATTATTCTGATATCTGAGATTGTCTCCAGATCACGTGACCTCCATTGATGGCTATACTCTGTTATAATCTCTTAAGAGATTTTAACAAAATACCAAACTTTTTAGAAAAAAACCAGGGACTAACTTTGAATGTAAAAATGGATTCATTAACCATTGGTAAGTATGGGAAAATTGTTGTTTACTCCAGGAAAATTCATTTTTTGGCCGAAAACAAAGAGTTATTATCCCTTTAAGTGAGAAAAACTTTATGTGTGCCCTGTGGAGTAAACTGTTTTATATGACAGAAAAAAAGAGACTAATCAGCCACCATAATTTACAGTGCAACATTACATTAATTATCAGTAAATGGCAAAGATCTATTTAAACACAGGAAATTTCAGATAAATGGCAATCTCATATTTGATAAAATTGTGCCTGCGAATATGTTTAATACTTAGAAAAAAAAGCAATATATCTAAATATAAAAAATACAGTAACTCTTAGGCTAAAAGCAAAGGTTTGGGGTTACACATTTTAGTGCACTAGGTTTTTTCATCAGGAAGGAGGGGCCTAAAGTACAAGACCAAACTTGAAGGTGAGATATTTTTTTTCTCTATTTACTCCGTGTTTGTGAATCACTTTAAAAATCAACATTTGAGCTGCAACAGACGATTATAATCGCTCTTTTGGTCAGTTGAAATACCATTAAAGGTAACTATATTAGCTGCATTCTCAAAAATTTTGTTTTTTGCTTTTTGTACCAGTTCCATAGATGGGACAGTTTCTGACACTTCAGAGAGATACGACGCTGCGGCTCCGGCAACAAATGGACACGCCATGGAGGTACCGCTTTTCTCCTCGGTGGCGTTATTTGCCCAGTTCGCATCACTTTCAATAAATACAGCAGGGGCATAAATGTCCACGCAAGGGCCATTGTTATACTCAGGCACTGCTTGATCAAACCAGTTGGTGCCCCCAACACATAGTGCCTCCTCCTCACTTCCAGGCGAGTACTCGCATGCATCACTGCCGTCGTTTCCAGCAGCGACCACCATGACAATTCCACTATCAACAAGACCAGCGACGGCTGAATTCACGGCTTTAGAATGTGGCCACCGAAGAGAGACATTTACCACAGACTTTCGTTGCGCTGCGCTGACTTGTTTTTGAATCCATTCGAGTCCACCCAGAAAATCAGAACTTGTTCCAGAGCCGTCTGACCTGATGACTTTTACCGCTATGATATTTGCACCTTTGGCCACCCCGTATTTTGTCCCACCCAATATCCCGGCCACGTGGGTTCCATGACCGTTATCATCGGCCGCCGTAGAGGTAATGGAATATCCATAAGTGACACGCCCTCCAAAATCTTCGTGATCTTTATTTATTCCGGTATCCACTACGTATGCGTCCACCCCAGCACCTGTTCCAGAACTGGACATTTTCAATTTGTTGTCAAATGAATCTTCATTTACTGGCGAATCCAGTCTGTCCAGTCCCTGCAATTGAATTGAGCAGGATAAGTCTAGATTACAATTCCTCAAAAAATTCATGTAAAAGATGACCATATCCCACAGATTCAAGTGTTAATGATCGAATGACATTCGAAAGTTTGAATGATGAAGTAGGAAAGTATGGTTGTCTTCAAGAATGGTAGAAGTATTGATCACAGAGCTTAAAGTTTTATATAAGAAGTCAGTTACAAAACTTGACAAAAAACTTTTCTGACGAAAATATTTTACTCTTACCCACGACAGATCACCCGAGGTGCTATACGAGGTACATTGTGTAACTGTAGTTATTAAGTCCGGCTCTATTATTTCAAAGACATCTGTGTTCTCTTGAAGTGTCCGAATTTGGCTGTAATGGTAGTTTCGTTTAAGATTTTATTCAAAACTAGTGCTAGTGACATCAAAAGGTACAACAGATGTTCCATTATGAGCAGATTGTATATATATATATATATATATATATATATATATATATATATATATATATATATATATATATATGTTTAAAATTGATTATACATATATGTTCAAAATTTCGATACTACTTGAAACAATACATACATTCAGTAATATTACGTGTAAAAGTAAAACATATTTTCGTAATTCATTTTTCTTTGTAGAACGCAGCATTTGCTCTAAATTGAACGTATCTTCGTGGATATTTCTCTATAAATGGACGATTCAGGTGTCCATATGTATCAACGTAAATCTCTCAAATTCGTGGTTGCATGTTGTTGTTTATAAAATAAAGCTTTTTGGCTTACTTACTCTTCACTGATTTTTTTCAGTAGTATAAGGTTACTAGTTCTTCTGATGCCAAACTTGAAACGTCTTGGTCTCCGAATACCGGCACTTGCAAGCGCTCTGATCACTGCAATTAAAATTAAATGTACATAAAGGTAACAGGGCCCTGGAAGAAAACAGTAAAGCGCCTTTATGCGGGCATGCTCAGGTTGTGTGTGTGTGTGTGTGTGTGTGTGTGTGTATGTATGTGTGTGTGTGTGTGAGAGAGAGAGAGGGGGGGAGGGAGAGAGAGAGAAAAGAGAGAAAGAGTTACAGAGAGAAATAGAGAGAGTATGATTAAATACTAAATCCGTTTTTGTAAACAGAAGAATATAAAGTAAGCAAATTAATTCTTCAGGATACCAAAAAATGATAGAGAAGAGATTTTACCTTCGCGATTCGTAACATTGTTGAGCACCTTGACCAAGTATTGACCTTCCACAGCACTCTCAAGTCTGCTAACCATTACTCTTCTCACTTTGTAATAAGAATGGAAGAGATAAAACAATGATAAAATAATAACATCAAACACAATTCGTCTTTCTTACACTCACACACACATTTCTATAAATACTACAACATTGCAACAATTTCCTAACCTTATGGCTATTAGGTAGACTTCAGAAAGGATTAAAATCACTATATATGGTATTATCGCGTGCGTTTGTGTGCTTGTGCACGCGGTGAATTACTGCAGTATTCTTTTACAAATAGAACATTCTATTCTTGTTTAAATGAGTCGACTGAACCTCTTCGGCTTCATATCTCATATTTGGGTCTCTGTGAATACATTGATAAACTCAAGTGGACAAAAAGTTGCAGTGACTGTGATCAGGGTAATCAAAACCTCCTTTAAAAATAATAATCTGTTTCACCTGAAAAAATTACTAAATAGATGTGCATGCAAATATAACAAAGTTTTGCTATTAATTCACACTTTTCTTTGTAATTTATCCGTAAGAAAATGCAGATATTTTCAAAAAAGCTGAACAAAAGAATAATGGGCAGACTTTTTCCTATAATCTGTACAAAACCTAGCTACTTTAAATAACACACATATAAATGGCGGCTCACCGTTAGTTTAACGTTCCTTTACTAAATGTTACTAAATCAATCTACATGCCCTTTCTTTAAACATTTATGCAATTATCTTTAAAAGTATCATCCTCGGATGTATTTTACAAATCGCATATAACTATATTTTTGGCACACCTGTAAGTATCATTATCTATTCCTTGATCTATTACATCCCCTATTTAAGTACGTATGTCATACAAACAAACTGGCAGCTAATCTGTAAATTACTTGGCAAATTAACATGTTCATTATACTGTTAACAATGCAAAGACCTAATTGGGATGTGGTCTGGGCTAGTAAGGAAAAGTGGACTAGATTGGGGTCTGGCCTGTGACGTGTGTGTGTGTGTGTGTGTGTGTGTCACTGCTTTATTTAACAATGTGATGAATCACCATCTGTGATCACGTTCTCATAAAATCTAGTCCAATAACCGAAAAACCGCAGGAAAGCATTTCCGGAATATAATGCCTTGAGATGACAAACTACAATCACCCTACAAGACTAGTTAAAAAGGTACTTAACTGTTATGTATTGAGCATGTTCTTACTATTGTCATCATTTAGAGGCTTTCAAATATTTCAACACGCTTTTAAATAATTTAGAAATATCATCCAAATCCTTACTTTCATAGGCACAACAATGAGGCTTCAGAATAAATTTTTCATGATTTTCGTGAGAGAACAGAGCGTGACATTTGTCATTAACCATAACAATATCAATCTAGAGCTGTTAACTCTTCATTTTAAACGAGACCTGTCCCTTTATGCCTTTAGGCTCCATAGTCCGTTCGAAGCAGCCAGTTCCCGCCTGCTGACAAGACATTTAAAAGGAAGCATATGTGTATCGACCATTTGTATAGAAAGCGCGTTTAACAGCGTAGCGAAAGTAGTAATTTTTTCTTTTCGGTCACTAGCTCACTAACTTTTCTAACGTAATAACTGCACCAATGTCAGACATTCTGGGATGTAATTTCCAACTCATTTTGATGTCTCACATGCGGCATTTTGTATCCCTTTTTCACGCGCATAATAGTAAAACAGTCTTTTAAATACATTTTTTTTGTTTCAAAAATTACATATTCGGGAAGAATTTCTTTTTTAATCTTAATTATGCATTTCATATATTGCTTTTCTGTTTCATCCTTCTGTAAATTATTAAGCACATGCATTATTCAGTTGATAATGGTGCAGCGGATAACCAAATATAACTGCATGTTTCAAGTTCACAGATAGAGACTCGTCTGTAAAAATCGAACTTGTATGTGTCATCGAAATGACAGCTGTAGGTAGAAACTGGTTTAAGCATACATTTTAAAGAAAGATCGAAATTTGTAGAAATATTTAAGAAGTCGTTTCAATTATTAATTTTTTTCTGAGCCACCATTTTCTTCTCTGTAATCATACCTTACCTTTTCCAGGTCTGTCGTCCAATGTAAATCCTGGTGGGTATTTTCCACGACTAATGCTGGGCTTGTTCCTGGCGTTCTCATTTGAACTGTCTCGAGCAGAACCCTGTGCAGTTTCATGGTCCACGTCAGAGTCGCTGCTGTCCGTCTTCACAGCTTCCGTGTTTTTCCATAGAGCGATGACCATGATGAGACATATGAGGAGTTTTCTGCCCTTCATCTTGGCTGTTGGTTTGTCGTATAATCTGCAAAGAGTTAGGGTTTGCGGTAAAAGGTGGTTCATTTATAAAAGCGGTTTTGCACCGGGAGGGTCTTATCATGAGAAAAAAACTTTGGTTACTGTCGAATGACGTAAACTCGTTGTATTGGCCACGCCCAGCACTCGGGTACATGTATGACATGCTAATTGCTATACAACCTTCATCATATAACTGCATTAGAACTGCATAACTGCAAAAAACATCTGTTTCCGGACGAATTTACAAAGTCAAGTTGCTGTTCAGCCTTTTTTCATTTCCTTTTTTTTTTTTTTTTTTTTTTTTTTTTTGCCTTTGCTATTTTGTCAAGAGGGGCCCATTGTACATTTTTGTCTCCCGTGATGGTCACTTATTATTTTCCGAGATGCATGAAGCGTTCATATTATTCAGCGTGATCCGTGTAGAACCCTATTCCCGTGACTCATGATTCTGGCTTTTTATTCTTCGCCAGTCCTGAAACGAAGCCATTATACTCGGTTATGATCACTTTTCGACTTGTTTAGCTTTTGAACTAACTATCTGTAACCAGGTCAAACTCGATCGGTTGTAAAATAGATTTGTTTCAGAACGGGACACAAATGGAAGGAGAACACGAATCGGAAGAAGTTTGTCAAGGTACATGTGTTGGTCAACAAGCAAGAAGGTCTCTTCAAAAATAATAAGATGTTACCGAGACTCAATCCAGTCCAACCCAATTAGACCTATATACAAACTAGCATAGCATCCATTTTTCGCAAACAAAAGAAGCTTACCATTCATTAAATACCGTATGTCTATAGTATGAACTCTATAAAGGCTGGAACACTTGCAGTTTTGTTCCCTTTGTCACTTGAACTTACATTGTCAACAAGCTGCCGTGGTGCACAATGTACAATGTGCAATGAGCTTTGGGAAATTGGATGCAAATTTAGAAAAATGAATAAGAGCATCTATTTGTGGCGCATGAATAGTCATGGCGCTTTGGAATCCCCTATTAAATTCATCGTGATTGTTAATATGCAGAAATGGGTCATATATTAACAGCAACCTTGAATACGATAGTCAGAAAATTTGCCCAATGCCAGTATGTCTGAAGAGACCTTTTGAAGTATTTTTAACATATCAAATTTATAAAACAAGAAATTTCCATGCCACAATATATGAAATATGTTTATCTAAAATATCGACATTTTATGCAAAATACCAATACACCTGTGCTATGGAGAAAGACACCCCCCGGAAAATAATGTAATATTAATATATATACAATAATATTGAACCAGGATCCATGATATGAATATAATTGTTCATATAAGTTATTAATTACAGCTGATCGGAATAAATGTGTCATTTGACAAACATCGTTCATTAAAAAATAAGGGCTCTAATAAATATAGTCCTCAAAGCATCGCCTATTTCCGTAGTTAATAAAATTATTCGCATTTGTTCAGGAAATCGGTTGAACGAAGACCAGAATAATGCACGATGAAATATATATGTATGCATGTAATGAAAAAGCATATAACCTATTTGTCCTAAAATAACGCATAAATTGTTAACCTAAAAAACTCTGTAAAGTTGCCCTATTGACAGGGTACGTTTAACATATGACATAGAGCAATATCGTTTGGATGGAAATTTGTATGGTCTAATATCAAAGTTGCATGTTCTCAGTAATATCTGAATTGTACATCCTCTTCTGTAGGCGTGTGTTAAACATGGCCAAATATATTTATATCTCATTCATTATGTTTAAGATACACGCAAGCACGTAAGCAACGAAATGCTCAAAAACATGTTCCAGACCCAGTCATCTAGCTTCTTAAAAGTCGTGTTATCAGTGCTTCATTTGCCATAGAGATTGCGATAGGTCGATTTCAGCAAATTAACTATATATAGACAACAGGTGTGCGTCATTTCCTTTTATAGTGACACCAGCGGAATATCATCAAAACACCTGTTGAAGTACAATTATTTCAAATCGATAGGAACCAATACCAGCACATGTTCTCTAGTTTATGCAAGATGTTGGTCACTCCCACACTAGCAGCCATATGGCACATTAGTTTAACTACATGTACATGTTTTTTTTTTTCACGCTATCATGCTGGATTCTCTACATAAAAGTACTCAAACACCCTTGAATGAAAAGACTTGACAGACTCATTAGCAGTGTATTTAAATAGTAAATAAGTACATCAATAAAAAATATAGTATTTAAGTAAACAAAAACTTTCGTTGGTTGTTTTATCTATCCTGTTTATGTGGTTTGCTTCAAATACTTATATGAATCTCACATACTAAATGACAGTAAAACACAACTCCCAAAGAAAACCAGGCTAATTTCTTTTGATATCATTATATGTACATATTAGAGACAGAACACTTTAACTTAGAATAAAGGCGTAAAACTAAAAGAATGTAAAACTGGAACTAAGTTTACTCACTGCTATTGATTCTTCCAGTTCCGGAAAGTATGTGTCTGTCCTATCGTCTCCCAACAGTGAAATAAACATGGCCTATTCAAGGTGTGGAACAGACCTCATTTGTCATCGCCATTATTATGACTGATACAAACCTTGTCTAATTTGTGGGCTGCATACACACTTTAGGCACAACTCCTACTCATTTGTTATGTGAAGTGGAAACAATGCAAGCTTGGGGAAATAAACCCCCATTAGCCAAAATCAGGCTAAAAACGCCTTTATATAATACCGGCTGTTATAATATTATCATAAAATGTTCATGGACTCCATTTATCCTTTGAACTGGTCACTGGTCATTTTGCTGATATGTAATATTTGCAGTTTTGGAGGAAAGGCGTTATTTTCAGTTTTTTGGTTCTCTCTATTAGCTGGGGTCGTGTCAAAAAAATCTAAGGCTAATGGCGCGGTGCATGAGTACTACAAAAGGGTGAGACGGATTCCCTAACAATTACTCCATTTAGATTTTATCATCTTTAACGTTAAATTACAATTGTCACTGCACTTTTGTAAACAAGACAGCCAAAGATCGGTTTAAAAGATCTTATCAAAAATCTGTTGCACGCGACTGCTCTTCATACCGTCGGCAATAACAACATTAATTGTGGTGATTTTACCTGCACCTGTTACGGAGTCATCCATCGAAACGATTGCTATAAGCAGCCCGTAACTATTATCCGCTTCCAAGTGCTTCAAAAGCATGACGCCTTTGAAGTATAACAGCTCTACCTGCATACTCCCTTTACAAGTGTATGCCAGTAACAACTCATTAACATGGCCTTAATAAGAAATCTTGGATTTTGTGTATTATTTTGCATTTCAAAGCTGACTACCCTATATTTCAGGGCTTATATCTTTAAAGAGAAAAATATTTTTTTTTTATTATTATTATTATCATTATTATTATTATTATTATTATTATTATTATTATTATTATTATTATTATTATTAATTTACATAAACCGTCAGGCAGTTTTCTTATGGTATAGGAAACTAATCTCAGTCCAAGTGGTTTTTTTAAAATAAAGATATATCTATGTATATTTGGAAAAAAGGACTTTCTTCCCGTATATGGTGGTTCTAAAAATAAAATAAATAAATAAAGACGTAAATAAATAAGTTTAAAGCTATGTAGATAAATAGATACAGATTATTAAAAATGCTTATACTGTACACAGTGGATTTTTCAAGGAATATTTTATTCTGCTGTTCTACATGTCTTATCAGCCTAAATAGTGTGTTTTTAAAAAATCTCACTGTTAGCCAAAATACTTCCAAACCAAAGTGCAAATTGTTCGTCAAATCTATAGCACTGATAGATGTTTTATCAACTTCCTATCTTTGCAGTAAGCAATTGCGTATGTTAGACCTAAACTATTTACAAGCACAAATCAAAGGCAGACCGTCATACAACTTACGGTAAAAATATGTGCTATGCATTTGATGCCTTGGTTTTTGCACATACAGCAAAACAGAACACAACAACTATATATAAAAACAACCTTTCTTTGCTAACACGTTAGAGAGCGACATACGAGAATTTCAAGGATTCTTCCCGAATTAAAGATGATCTAGTGCTGACCACTTTAAATGATCTGTTGGAGGCTTTAATTCGGGAAGAATCCTTGAAAGTTGTTTTAAAGTCATTTAAAGTCTCTCATTGGAGATATCTATTTTCAAAGAATGTAACAGAATGTGTGTGTTTGCGATATAGCGTTTGAATATCTTGCTATGTTTAAAAAGGTGCGCCTAATTTTGCGTTTAATAATTTACAAAACATTAATTTCGCATGGCTGTGATAACAGTTATCAGTACACACCAGGGAAAAATTGTCATGAAATAAAACCACAACCTCAACAAAACAAGACATTATTTGTAAAACACATACTTCCTCGAACAGAACAATTTACACGAAAAACTCCTTTTAAAAGTAAGTCTTAAATATCTGAAATGGATGTCATGGCTACCTTCTATAAATAAACACAGTTATTTTCTTTTAATTAATCTGTGTTATATCCGAAAAGGTTGGGTATATTTTACTGTAGCGGGTAGACTGAAGAAAACAACAACAAAACAATTACGCATTAAATAGTAAGATCTCTTCTAACATGTGATCTGCAACAATCGATTGACGCATTCTGACGCCAAGGTGGCGTTTATGAAGTCGAAATACAGAACAGCGGCTGCTGTTGAATACAGAAGAGATTCGACTTCAGCCACTAGATTTTTTGAAGGCACGACTTCTTCTGGTAGGGCAGAGAGATACACAGCCGCTGTCCCGGCAACGAACGCTGTTGCAGACGAAGTTCCACTTTGAACCATGGTTGCTGTGTGATTGGTATACCAGTCACTCTTTATTTGCAACCCAGGGGCATAAATATCCACACAAGAACCACTGTTAAAACTGGACACTACATTGTCTAACCAGTCTGTTGCCCCTACGCATATTGCCAACGGTTCACTGCCTGGCGAATACTGACAGGCGTCCCCTCTATCGTTTCCAGCGGCGGCGACGACGACAATACCGTCTTTTACCAGGCCTTCGACGGCAGAATTAGCAGATTCAGAGAGTGGCCAACGGAGAGAAACATTAACCACAGATTTCCGTTTTGTTATTCTAATTTGATCTTGGATCCACTGTATCCCGTTGAGAAAGTCAGAAACTGTTCCAGTGCCGTCTTTGTCTATTACTTTCACCGCAATTATATTGGCGTCTTTGGCCACCCCGTATTTTGTCCCACCCAATATCCCGGCCACGTGGGTTCCATGACCGTGATCATCAGCCGCCGTAGAGGTAATGGAATATCCATAAGTGACGCGCCCTCCAAAATCTTCGTGATCTTTATTTATTCCGGTATCCACCACGTAAATATCCACCCCTATGCCAGCTGTGGTCATCTTAAATGATGAATCATAGGCAACTGCCAGGTCCACATTGTCCAGTCGATCGAGGCCCTATAAAAATATGACGTGCATGTTAGAATAAAAAAATTTATTGGTTTCAGCACATTTTTTAGGAAAAAGCTATGTCCTAATAATTACATATTACAACAATGACAATCTAAAATGAAAACCTTTACATACATAAAACAGCACGATTAATGATTATACATGTATTTATTTATTTATAGTTTCAGGGGGTCTTATTTGGATTGATTGTAAATGGAAGCTTAGTGTTTCTACACCAAAAGGGAGTACTATACCATGGTTCGTTTTCAACATTAAACAGTCCTGTTGCTAATTGAACGCCGGGAATTGAACGCTTTAATATTAATACCAGCGACTCAATGAGAAAGTGTCTATTTTCCCAATTTTAATAAAATTGAATTCTGTCACTGAAATAATTAGTCCTTTAGGTTACAGATCAATATCCTGGAGTTTTATCAGGTTTAGTAACCACAATCCTGTCATCACGTATTCTGCAATAGAGCTTACCTGGCAAGGATGCGGTATCTAAAAATACAGACGGCAACAACAATATATACTATCAGTCAATGGGAAACCCCCTCAGTTTCGTTTACAGGGGAATAACCTTTCTGCCATTCCAAATTTGGTAATGTTTTTTCACATTACTTATTATCTATTATAACATTTAAATAAAATACAACATTATTTATTTAAAATAAAGATAAACATTTAAAAAATTGTTTCAAACAACCGAACGACCCAATTTCCTTTGGCGCACAGTACAGCATTTATATTGGTAAGAGAGAAAAACCCTCATGTAGATTGTAGCTACCACCCAGGCTATTACTCGAACTCAAATCCCTTTATATATGGGAGACTCCGACTACTTTAATCAGAGCCGGTCTCGACCCCGGTCAGGACTTCGTCAAATCACTCAACTACTGCCATAGCTGAGTGAAGGGACGTGAGTCATTGGGTCCTAGCCTGGGTGCCAGCAACACTGGTGCCTTGGGTGGAACACAGCAAATGGCTTGGGTTGATATGTGGCTCGCTATGGTAGTGAGGAGGTGAAAACCTCCTTTTAAAAGTATTTTTTCTCCGATGAGTACTTTGAGTAGAAGGTGGCTGTAACGTTTCATAATTTCAAGGGCAAAAACAGAGATCCTGCGTATAAGCAGATATCCAAATAGGCATACAATCCCTCTTAGTTTCTTCTTTAACCCCCCCCCCCTTTTATAATCTGATGTGTGTGAGGGTGTGTTATTAATGAAAGAGTAGGCCTGAAATATCTGAACATTATAATATCTAAATGGACACGGGCGGTCAAAAATAATATAAACAGGCGGTCAAAAAATAAAGACCCCCTAACGTTATGTCCGACGAGAGTACCTCTGTGTCATGGTGTTTATGTTTAAATAACACTCGTACTTGCTCGATTCTTAACAGTTTATCATTTTGAAATTTTTCAAATAGTTAGTCTGCTTCACTGAATTCAGAAACATTTAAACTAAACACAAACAAATACACATACACAGAGACAAAATATAATGAAAAACACCACTCACCCATCGATAAAATCCCGAGGCGTTGTATGTGGTACATGTAATATTTGTGATGAGATCCGGTTCGATCAATTCAAATACATCTGTATACTCCTGAAGTTCTTCAAGCTGTCTAGGTAGAATAATACGATATCTTAGAAATGGAAAATCAGAAATAGGTACACAAATATACACGTTCAAGCGAATTCAACTGCTTCAATTTTTATTCTGCATTACAAATGAAATACTCACTTTTCACTCACGTTCTTCAGCCATACGAGATTGCTGTTGTCCCCAAACTGGTGGCGCATTCGGTATGGAAGTTTTGCATGAGCGAAAGCTTTGCCAGCTAAACGTAAAAATATATGTATTCACGAATCATAGTCTTGTTTGAAATGGCCTTTACAAAAAGTTTTGTACTTGTCGCACTGCGCTTAGTTGCAACACCTTAATGGGCAAGTACATCGCTCACATCATTGAGTTCTTTTGAGATAGTTCTCCATTTAAATAACTCTATGACTGAAAAGGGGCTAAACAACTAGAAAGGTTGGATTAATGCATTTCATCTAAGAGAGAGAGAGAGGAGGAACAGACACAATTTACAGGCAGTCACTTTGCATTACGACCTCACTTTATAACATAACGTACCTTCGTAATCTGTACAATTACTCCACAATTTGAATATAAATTGGTTTTCAACAGCTAGACCAGGTTTCACAGCCTTAATTCTCTTCACTAAATGACGAAAATAAACAATAAATACGAAATGTAAGTTAAACGCCCATCTATCAATCTTTTAAATGTTTTCCTACAAGGCAATGTATGAGACAAAAAAAAAAAAAAAAAAACATTACACGTATTAAAAGAATTTTACACACGTCCTTTTCTTTTGGTGAGGAAAAAAATCCAGGTAAACGAGAAAAAGTGCAAAATATTAATTTTCAATAAAGCTGGAAAAACAGAACAGCACCTAAAATTCACAATAAATGAAAACATCCTGGAAAACGTTACAGAATATACTTATCTAGGTATCACCTTCACCAATACAGGTAACCTCAAGAAAGCAATGCACAATCTAAAACAAAAAGCAATGAAGGCCATGTTTGCGCTTAAAAGCACTTTATCCTCCCAAAACATATCTAATCCACTATTACAAATGAAACTATTTGATAGAACTGTAAAACCAATTTTACTCTATGGTAGTGAGGTATGGGGTCAGGAAATTCTCAAACAAAAATCACTAAGCCTAAATGAAATCAATAACACGTCGTTCGAGCAAATTCACTTGAAAATGTGCAAATGGGTATTAGGAGTGAGAAAAACTGCCAGTAATAATGCCTNTTGCTTTGACGAATCATGGGGCGAGTTTCAATCGGGCACACTTTCTTGCGTTCGGAAAATTTAAATTGTGCCCAAGGTGAGTTTAGCGATCGTTCGTACAGAACGGAGACAAAAAATTCAGGTTCAGAGAAAAAACATTTCGTTCGTAATTATTGCGGCGTTCGTATAGATTGGAGAATTACCGTAATGCCTGCAGAGCAGAATTGGGTAGATACCCAATCCTTACAGATATAATTAAATCCATGCAAAAAATACCACACCAGACTTAAAAATCTCCCGAATACAAGAATACTGAAACAAACATTTAGCGAAGAAAAACTCCTGAAAATAGATAATTGGACTAAAACAGTGGCGGCATTTAGACAGAATTGGGGAATTCAACATTGGGATGAAACATCAGACCTAGAAAAAGAAATTAATCTAAAAATCGAAGACCTTTTTTGGAAAGAATTGAACAAGGAGAACCACAATAAACTGCGTACATATCGAAAAATAAAAAACTCATACGATCTTGAAAATTACTTAAAAATGAACGCCACAAGCTCAGACAAAAAATACTTAGCCAAAATGAGAATAAGTGACCACGAGCTAGCGATAGAGAAAGGCAGGCACATGAAAACTACCCTGGAACAAAGAACCTGCACAAGCTGTAAAACGGAAATAGAGGATGAGAAACATTTCTTCCTCACATGTAGTAAATACCAAATAGAGCGACAAAATATGCTCAGTTCCCTCCCAAACACTGTGAGACAAAATTATGAATTAGCAGGCAGTGATCAGAAACTATTCATCCTCCTCAACCCTCAAGATCAGAAATCACTAAAAGCATTATCACAGTATATACAGTTAGCAACACGATGAAATATCACTTTCTCTCTTTATATGTAAGTACAATATGGTAGATTCTGTAGTAGACTAGACAGCAAACAATGTTAAATTGTAACATTCAAAGCTGAATAAATTATTATTAATTATTATATGTAGGATAGATCTACAGTTTATAAAAGTCCAAGCCTCCATGATCTAATGTCAAGACTTGTTCAAAATTTGTTGTGGAAATGAGTAAGTCAATATAAAATTTTCCTGTCATGGATAAACCCAGGTAACACAAGTAATCACTTCATATGCATCTTATTTATGCAGTTTTAGTGAATATTTCATTTTTCCTACAAGTACATTTTTAGGAGCAACTTTGTTCTCCCACGGGCCTGAACCCATCTGGTACCAGTTATATTTTCCGATTGCCCACATTTACAATAGTGCATATTAACAAATAAATGGTGATCACGCTCTTAAACATTGTGGATTTTTTTTTTTTTGTGCAACAGTACGTGATTATTTTCAGCTTTGTATGTGTGAAATTTATGCCGTCTTGTTTGAGAAATTTTCAACTTCTACTTATAATAACACAATACCATACATGATGTAAACCAAAATTTCAGTGAAATATGTCATACAGTAAATCAAACTCCCTCCTAAAAACAAATTTTTATAGTTTATATTTATTACTTTTTGCAAAGGAAACATAAATACAATCAAAATGTACATGTGTATTCCATTAAGTATATTCCATACACTTAAACAAAGATGCAAAAAAAAAAAAGGTTAAAAAGGTTTAAAAAAAAGGTACTATAAATGTACAAATCTGTACTCCATCTAAATATCTTTGGATTTTTTCCATTAAATAGTGACCTTTACTTTTATTCAAGACACATATGATATTTCACATCTGATGTTCAAAATCTGTGAATTATTTTGATATTCATATAGATCCCTTAAGGTTCAAATATTGTAAGTATTAATCTTGTTACAAATACAAAAAATTGGTCACTTGAGATTTAACAAGCTTATGACATCCTTGTAAAATTGGAACTCCTTATTTAATGGTCAGTAATAATTTAGTGAAAACATGTCTTTACCACAAAATAATTTGGCCATTACCTGAAACTTCTAAAACTGTAAGATTTTTTCCTTAAACAGAAATGAGAAATACTGCCTTTTGTCAAACATAATACTCTTTTAATATATTTTTGATTTACTTAAAAATAAATATGCATAAATAAAAAAAAACNAAAAATGTGCAAATGGGTATTAGGAGTGAGAAAAACTGCCAGTAATAATGCCTGCAGAGCAGAATTGGGTAGATACCCAATCCTTACAGATATAATTAAATCCATGCAAAAATACCACATCAGACTTAAAAATCTCCCGAATACAAGAATACTGAAACAAACATTTAGCGAAGAAAAACACCTGAAAATAGATAATTGGACTAAAACAGTGGCAGCATTTAGACAGAATTGGGGAATTCAACATTGGGATGAAACACCAGACCTAGAAAAAGAAATTAATCTAAAAATCGAAGGCCTTTTTTTGGAAGAATTGAACAAGGAGAACCACAATAAACTGCGTACATGTACATATCGAAAAATTAAAAACTCATACGCTCTTGAAAATTACTTAAAAATGAACGCCACAAGCTCAGACAAAAAATACATTGCCAAAATGAGAATTAGTGACCACGAGCTGGCGATAGAGAAAGGCAGGCACATGAAAATCACCCTGGAACAAAGAACCTGCACAAGCTGTAAAACGGAAATAGAGGATGAGAAACATTTCTTCCTCACATGTAGTAAATACCAAATAGAGCGACAAAATATGTTCAGTTCCCTCCCAAACACTGTGAGACAAAATTATGAATTAGCAGGCAGTGATCAGAAACTATTCATCCTCCTCAACCCTCAAGATCAGAAATCACTAAAAGCATTATCACAGTATATACAGTTAGCAGCACGATGAAGTAGCACTTTTTCTTTTTACGTAAGCACAATATGGTAGATTCTGTAGTAGCTAGACTAGACAGCAAACAATGTTAAATTGTAACATTCAAAGCTGAATAAATTATTATTATTAAAAAAAAAACCTCGAACGAAAAAAAATAATAAAGAAGATTGCACTAGTATGTATTCGAATTGCTTGTCCTTGTAGATATTGCAATATTGAAAACAGAAGGATATCTATATAAGCCTATTCCATTCCCGTTGCTGAGTAAGTCTAGGCGGGTTTCATCCTAGAATTGTTTTTACCTTTGCCTGGGTGTTCCATCATCTTTAAACCGAATGGGTATTTTCTGCGTCTCTTTCTCTCTTTCTTTTTTTCATCGTCCTCAGGTTTAGGTTTGAATGGGTAGCTCTTCTCTGGAAGAATTCGTTGGGGTTTTGGGGGCCATCTTGGGGGCCACAAATGGGACCAAACCCCGTAGCCTTTTGGTTTATTAAATGGTATCCCTAAAGCTATCGCGATCGGTGGCCACGTTTCAGGTTCCTTTGGGATATATCTCGGAGGTTCATACTTAGGCCACGGAAACGTAGGGTTTCCATATGTGTGATATTTTTGTGAAGGCTTGCGGATATGCTGTGTAGTAGATTTTATGGGTTTGATAGTGCTGCGGGTTTGAGCCCCAAGCAAAGTGTGACAAAGAAGAATGCACGTGATATATCCCGACTTCATGGTGTCTCTTGACTACTGTAAAACAACACGAAAAACAAATAGACATTTTGGTTGTTTCAAACAAAGAACTCATTAAAATTTCCGGAGACAAAATCTTACGGACAAGTGGTTAGCGCGCGCCATGGTAGCACTGATAATTGCTAAAACTGCGAATTGTCTAATTACGAAGGAAAGGGTTTTGAAAGTTGTATTTATCAGTGTCTATGGGACTAAGGGCTACCTGGTTGCTGTATAGCACAGCTATCAGTGGTCACTACACATGTACCTAGGTTGACACTGACTGTTGAAAAGTTACTACTACATTTTAATATTTTCCTTTGTTACCTCCGCAAAGGAGGTTATGTTTTCACCCCTGTTTGTTAGTCTGTTTTTATTTATACGACAAGTACACCTACCTTCACCTAAACAGGTAACTTGAAATCGGCCACAATGCAATCAAAGACAGTGTTTCTATACGGTGATATTTTCTCCTTTTCATCCGTCATTCCAATCCCAAGAATGACGCGTCTGCCCGACTGTCATGTTTACATATACCCTGAACGTCTATAATGAAGACCTGTTAAGATTTCCGAAAAAAAAAATTTCAAGCAATAGAAATTAAATTGTCTTTTAACTTTACACAGTTACTCTAGCCAGAAAGTATCCCCATACGGATGCCTCAGAGACTGTAAATTTGCATTTTTATAACTTTAATATCTGAAGTGGAACTTTTTACGCGAAATAAATTGCTATTAATCACTGCTAATATGTATGTAAGGATAAGTCCTAGTACAAGCGTGTCATCACCGTGAGTTAAGTCCGTTGCCGGAGAGTGTGCGCTGCGTTTAAATGGCGGGTGCCAGTTGCCTTATATTGTACCCTGATGTTGTCTCTAGGCAGGCATGCATTTTCAGCACGGTTACTGAAAAATATTTGGACAAAGAGAACTTTTTTCATTTTTTTAAAAATTTACATGCACTGAAAGCGAAAACGGACGTGCTTAAATAAAACCCATATAAAAACATTGCCTTAATATGACCACATTGTTGGTGGCATGTTGAAATGGAAGTCCATGAAAATGTGAAATTCATTAAAATAAAATAAGGTGCCTTACATAGTTTATGAGTAACCAGTTTTGTTATATGGTCGAGATTGGTATTATAATAATAATCATCATAAAACTACATGGAAACATAAAACTTACGTAATACATTAAAAAAGATTGAGTGTTTTCTATTCTGAAGTCCAGATAAAAACAAGGATTTATCNGAAAATGTGCAAATGGGTATTAGGAGTGAGAAAAACTGCCAGTAATAATGCCTGCAGAGCAGAATTGGGTAGATACCCAATCCTTACAGATATAATTAAATCCATGCAAAAATACCACATCAGACTTAAAAATCTCCCGAATACAAGAATACTGAAACAAACATTTAGCGAAGAAAAACACCTGAAAATAGATAATTGGACTAAAACAGTGGCAGCATTTAGACAGAATTGGGGAATTCAACATTGGGATGAAACACCAAACCTAGAAAAAGAAATTAATCTAAAAATCGAAGGCCTTTTTTGGGAAGAATTGAACAAGGAGAACCACAATAAACTGCGTACATATCGAAAAATTAAAAACTCATACGCTCTTGAAAATTACTTAAAAATGAACGCCACAAGCTCAGACAAAAAATACATCGCCAAAATGAGAATTAGTGACCACTAGCTGGCAATAGAGAAAGGCAGGCACATGAAAATCACCCTGGAACAAAGAACCTGCACAAGCTGTAAAACGGAAATAGAGGATGAGAAACATTTCTTCCTCACATGTAGTAAATACCAAATAGAGCGACAAAATATGCTCAGTTCCCTCCCAAATACTGTGAGACAAAATTATGAATTAGCAGGCAGTGATCAGAAACTATTCATCCTCCTCAACCCTCAAGATCAGAAATCACTAAAAGCATTATCACAGTATATACAGTTAGCAGCACGATGAAGTAGCACTTTTTCTTTTTACGTGAGCACAATATGGTAGATTCTGTAGTAGCTAGACTAGACAGCAAACAATGTTAAATTGTAACATTCAAAGCTGAATAAATTATTATTATTAAAAAAAAACCTCGAACGAAAAAATAATAATAAAGAAGATTGCACTAGTGTGTATTCGAATTGCTTGTCCTTGTAGATATTGCAATATTGAAAACAGACGGATATCTATATGAGCCTATTCCATTCCCGTTGCTGAGTAAGTCTAGGCGGGTTTCATCCTAGAATTGTTTTTACCTTTGCCTGGGTGTTCCATCATCTTTAAACCGAATGGGTATTTTCTGCGTCTCTTTCTCTCTTTCTTTTTTTCATTGTCCTCAGGTTTAGGTTTGAATGGGTAGCTCTTCTCTGGAAGAATTCGTTGGGGTTTGGGGGGCCATCTTGGGGGCCACAAATGGGGCCAAACTCCGTAGCCTTTTGGTTTATTAAATGGTATCCCTAAAGCTATCGGTGGCCACGTTTCAGGTTCCTTTGGGATATATCTCGGAGGTTCATACTTAGGCCACGGAAACGTAGGGTTTCCATATGTGTGATATTTTTGTGAAGGCTTGCGGATATGCTGTGTAGTAGATTTTATGGGTTTGATAGTGCTGCGGGTTTGAGCCCCAAGCAAAGTGTGACAAAGAAGAATGCACGTGATATATCCCGACTTCATGGTGTCTCTTGACTACTGTAAAACAACACGAAAAACAAATAGACATTTTGGTTGTTTCAAACAAAGAACTCATTAAAATTTCCGGAGACAAAATCTTACGGACAAGTGGTTAGCGCGCGCCATGGTAGCACTGATAATTGCTAAAACTGCGAATTGTCTAATTACGAAGGAAAGGGTTTTGAAAGTTGTATTTATCAGTGTCTATGGGACTAAGGGCTACCTGGTTGCTGTATAGCACAGCTATCAGTGGTCACTACACATGTACCTAGGTTGACACTGACTGTTGAAAAGTTACTACTACATTTTAATATCTTCCTTTGTTACCTCCGCAAAGGAGGTTATGTTTTCACCCCTGTTTGTTTGTCTGTTTTTATTTATACGACAAGCACACCTACCTTCACCTAAACAGGTAACTCGAAAATCGGCCACAATGCAATCAAAGACAGTGTTTCTATACGGTGATATTTTCTCCTTTCCATCCGTCATTCCAATCCCAAGAATGACGCGTCTGCCCGACTGTCATGTTTACATATACCCTGAACGTCTTTAATGAAGGTCTGTTAAGATTTCCGAAAAAAAAAACATTTCAAGCAATAGAAATTAAATTGTCTTTTAACTTTACACAGTTACTCTAGCCAGAAAGTATCCCCATACGGATGCCTCAGAGACTGTAAATTTGCATTTTTATAACTTTAATATCTGAAGTGGAACTTTTTACGCGAAATAAATTGCTATTAATCACTGCTAATATGTATGTAAGGATAAGTCCTAGTACAAGCGTGTCATCACCGTGAGTTAAGTCCGTTGCCGGAGAGTGTGCGCTGCGTTTAAATGGCGGGTGCCAGATGCCTTATATTGTACCCTGATGTTGTCTCTAGGCAGGCATGCATTTTCAGCACGGTTACTGAAAAATATTTGGACAAAGAGAACTTTTTTCATTTTTTTAAAAATTTACATGCACTGAAAGCGAAAACGGACGTGCTTAAATAAAACCCATATAAAAACATTGCCTTAATATGACCACATTGTTGGTGGCATGTTGAAATGGAAGTCCATGAAAATGTGAAATTCATTAAAATAAAATAAGGTGCCTTACATAGTTTATGAGTAACCAGTTTTGTTATATGGTCGAGATTGGGATTATAATAATAATCATCATAAAACTACATGGAAACATAAAACTTACGTAATACATTAAAAAAGATTGAGTGTTTTCTATTCTGAAGTCCAGATAAAACAAGGATTAATGCTAATGATGATTACAGACAAGCAATTAAACCAGCTTGGTTTGTGCCGTCAACCTTCATAGTCATATGATATTTCAAAGTATCCGAACATATCATTTATCACAGTAATAAAAACAAAGATTTGTATAGCAAACCAAATGTTTATTTTTCTGTCCTTAAAATCTTTAGTCCAAACAAGTCAGCAAGATATTCAGATCCTTCTGCTTTATGTTCATACAGGTAACAGGTGTCCTTAGTTTTACTTCAAAATATATTATTGTTCATAGGACCAGCATATCAGCTCCATATTTTATATAAAAACTTAATGGCTTCTTCGACTAATACTGTTGAAATTTTCATAAATCAACTTTTTTTCCATTGGCCTAAGCAAAAATACTGGTGCACTATCTTCACTACCGTGATAGCAAATTACACAAAAGCTCTTCATTTTCATGTAGTTCAAGAAACTTTTAATTTACTCACAGGATAATGAAATAATCCAACCATTAATTTTTTGAACTGTTTACAGCTTCATTCATGACCTTTTCGTGGTCTTTTGAATAAACAGTAATATACTGGTACAACTTTTGACAGGCAGGTACAGAGGAGACATTCCAGAATGCTGTCTTAGAAAGCAAATCATAGGGGACACATGCAAAGCATGGTGAATTTGAACTATTGTATAATGATCATCATCATCATAGGTGATAGCATAAATAGTCTTCCAGACCCTATGGTCCTCCATGATACTGACAAGCTCATTTATGGGCTCCCAGCCAGTGTCCTCAAGAAGAACCTGGAAATAAGTTTTGTTTCATGTGCCCAATGAGCCATTGGGTAATAGATTAATTCTGGCAGCTTGTTACCACACTTGCTAGTCTGTAATTATTTCTGGTCCCACTTTCTTTTCTAAATCCTGCTACATCCCTCTTGATTTTAAGCTAAGTGGTGGGTCTTCAGGCTATCTCAGATGGTGTCCATTAAGCCAGCTCCCCTGGTTCGATCTACAGGCTAAGATGAACATATCCTGGTAGTAAATAACTTTTCATGGCTAGTCTTGGGTACTCTTATCTCCAATGGCTCTATGACAGCCACACTTTCAATTACAAGTACATGTACGAATGTGACATGTTTTTCTTCAACATGATCTGTTGTTGAACAATAAACCCTTTATTCAGTGTCTGACATTAAAAATAAAAGACTGCTCTTATATAATATAGTGTTATCCATCACATGGACCTGATCACTATGAAATGCTGGTAAATCTCCTTTGTCTGTTATTTCACTGCTGAAGTAGTATCTGAAGATCCAAGGACATCTATCTCTATGTTGCATTTAGCTGTCAAAAAAAGTATCTCACTGGAGGTCCTGGGATATCTTCCCCATCATCTCCCTCAAATGACACCACTAGGTCCACATACTGCTTGTCTGGGGAGGGGTTGATAAGTTTCTGCATTCTGCACAGTTAAAACAATACATTATTAGCTTACAAAATATCTATGTAAGTATCAGTGCATGATTGCTGACGAGCACACTGACATGCAAGCACACACCACAGAATTAGTCTAGTGCACTTCATTACTTAAACCATTGAGAAAAACTTACATTAAGCTGGAGTTAATCTTCTACTTACGTTTGTGGCAGTCTCTTTTTGTGCCCTGGCATCACAGGTACATAGATCATCTTCACACCATACACTACCATTGTGGCATCAAAACCATGCTTTTCCTAAAACAAAAGCACATGCACACAGCCTCAATGTAAGGTATGACTTTTTGTCACTCAGTTTTCAATGGTGAAAGTGTTTTGGCTATATTAATAATTGGATCAAGTCAAGCAAAATTAAACATAAATAACCTAGTTAGGATGTCATTATAATATATTGCCCAAAGATGGTGTTAACACACAAATGTATAACTTCAGAGGAACTTTGTAATAAAAAAGTTATTGAACAATATGAGCACTGACTTCCATACCTTAAAATGATTAAGAAACTGTTGCAATGTGAATGCACTATTGCCATGTACCTCCCACTTGTCCCAAATAGTACATGTTAGTCCCTTCCTACAAGTAAAAAAAAAAACAAGGCAGCAAAGCTGTCAAATGTACAGACAAAAAACAGGAAATAACTATGCACAAAATAAGCTACTGTCAATTATGATGCAAAAATACATTATGTTAAACTGCAAATTCAACATCAAATTTTAATTATCCTCAACAGGTAATACCAATGTAATTAAAATATGTGACAAGTTTACACTTTGAAAATGTATAACTTCCAGAAAAAGAAGTCACTTAGACTGCTTTTCCAACTNAGAACAGATCTTTAGCTGTAAACTTTGGTATTAATATCAGTATGCTGTCTTTATTTTTAGCAAACATTAGGAGCAAAGGAGCAAGAAGGAGCGTGAAGTTTATAAAACTGACTAAAAAATTTATTATTAAATTTGTCACCATTTATACCTTAAAACAGTCTTTTCTGCAGCTCCTGGCTCAGATAGCACCATGACAGGCAGTGCCAAATTCAAAAAGCAGTTCTTGTACTGCTCTAACTGGCATTCTTTTACGATCTTAATCAATTCTATTGTTGCCTGAAATTGAACAAAAACACATTTTAACAAACAAAAAGAACATGTTCTTGAATAAAGGAACTAAAATTGTGCTACATGGATGTACAGGTAAAAAATAAATAAAAAATGAATAATTCATATATTAAAACAATAGTCAGACATTGTGCTTAATTTGTTATACCTCAGTTACTATTCTCTAAAAGGCTGAAACTGAACATGGCTAATGTAACTTTCAAGTAAAAAGAACTGCAAGGGGTGAAGGATTTACAACATAGGGTGAGCTAAAACAAAAATATCTAGGCCTCTTTAGGCCACTCTCAATCAAATTCCCAAAGTAAATACAAAAACCAAATGTGATGAATACTAACCAGTCCAGCTACAGCAGCTGTTGTCGTGGCAATAGCTGGGACAATTTTTCCTGCAATTCTCTTAATTTTGAGGCGATCTGCCTGTTCTATAGAATACATCAATGCTCTCAGATTCTGGAAAAAACGACCAATTTATCAACTGCAAAANCATAAAAAAAGAACAGATCTTTAGCTGTAAACTTTGGTATTAATATCAGTATGCTGTCTTTATTTTTAGCAAACGTTAGGAGCAAAGGAGCAAGAAGGAGCGTGAAGTTTATAAAACTGACTAAAAATTTATTATTTAATTTGTCACCATTTATACCTTAAAACAGTCTTTTCTGCAGCTCCTGGCTCAGATAGCACCATGACAGGCAGTGCCAAATTCAGAAAGCAGTTCTTGTACTGCTCTAACTGGCATTCTTTTACGATCTTAATCAATTCTATTGTTGCCTGAAATTGAACAAAAACACATTTTAACAAACAAAAAGAACATGTTCTTGAATAAAGGAACTAGTATTGTGCCACATGGATGTACAGGTAAAAAATAAATAAAAAATGAATAATTCATATATTAAAACAATAGTCAGACATTGTGCTTAACTTGTTATACCTCAGTTACTATTCTCATGGCTAATGTAACTTTCAAGTAAAAAGAACTGCAAGGGGTGAAGGATTTACAACATAGGGTGAGCTAAAACAAAAATATCTAGGCCTCTTTAGGCCACTCTCAATCAAATTCCCAAAGTAAATACAAAAACCAAATGTGATGAATACTAACCAGTCCAGCTACAGCAGCTGTTGTCGTGGCAATAGCTGGGACAATTTTTCCTGCAATTCTCTTAATTTTGAGGCGATCTGCCTGTTCTATAGAATACATCAATGCTCTCAGATTCTGGAAAAAAAGACCAATTTATCAACTGCAAAANNNGACCAATTTATCAACTGCAAAAAAAAAAAAAAAAAAAAAAAAAAAAAAAACAGTCTCCAGCAAATCAAAGAATTGAAAACATTTGTCGCTCACAGGGATATGAACAATAGTTTGCAAAGGAGGAAATTAAGCCCCTTGCCTCTACTGCCAAATCCCTTCTTTTTTACACCTCATGCATGAATAACCTTTATGAAGGTAGAATTAAAATTAGGAAGAGATTATTGACTCTCAGGTAAAAAAGGTACTCACTGAAGCAGCAGTAATAAAATCTATGTGTCCATTACTATCATCATCCTTCTCAAATACTGCTGGGAACAATGATGAAAACACTGAAATGTAAACTAGAAGTGTTTAACATATACTGGTATAAACACATATCAAATCACAAACTTGAGCTATTCAATATATGTACGCACTGAATCACTTTCATGAAGTTAAATTAATGAGAGATAAATAATTTCAAACTTGTCTTTGACCATGAAGTTTTGAATACAAAAAATTTGCAAGAAATATACCCTTGTCTCCAGCATCCTGTCTCATTGCAATCTGCATTCTAACAGCAGTGTCCTTCAAGTCATCCCCAGTGACCTGGTCTTCTTCAACTGGTTTCTTTACTGTTTCATCAGTTATTATGGTCTAAACAAGATGAGGTTTTGTAAGTCTTTATAAACTTTTATAAATGCATTAACATAAAATGCCATCACTTGAAAAATAGGTTTTAATCAAGACCTTGTTACAGATTGCAATAATTATCTATTTGAAATGTTCACCTTTGAAGATGGTCTAAATTCTGGAACACTGGCTTTCTCAAACACAGAGCATATTACATCTGATGACATGACCTGAACATAAAGAAATAAAGGCAATCAATCAATCCATGCAATATACATGAAAAACCTTCAGACAATCATTATGGTGAAATGGCTAAAGGCATTCTCTTTAGCATGCAATTTCTATTAACAGTCTGTAAATTTTGGAGTTTTTACTCAGGCTCGTAGCCAGCCATTTCAAAGAGGAGGTTCTTTTTTTTTAGAAAAAGTGGACCTTTTACCCATGAAACTTTCATGTACCTAGATCAAATTTTCCCCAGAGAGGACCTTTTCCTGCTTAAAGGGTGGTTCATTAGAAATCTCCATTGCTACTGGCCTGCTACTAGCCAATATCCTTTTTTCAATATCCTAATTTAGTACATGTATCCAGCCACTTAATTTCTGATGTTCTACGATTGGTTATCCCAGATTTGTTATCTCTATTATTGTACTAGCATGCATGTATACATTGTCTAATTCTAATTCTGTATCCCAATTCATCTGCAATATATGTCAACCTGAAAAGAAGCATAAGAAGCTCTACAATTTCAGATTAGGAAAGTGTTTGTAATGACTTACTTCTTTTGTAACAGGAATGCCGTGAGTCTCTGCTAAAAGTCTGGCTGTGGTTGTGATGAACAGCATGTGCCTGAAAAGATAACATACAGGATTTACTGCATAAAATTGCAATTATGACAAAGTCTAGGAGAACATGCAAAGTGCTGAAAAAGTTAGGATCAAATAAAGGATCATTATAGCTTAGTTTTTTCTCAGACGAGTAAACTTTTGTTTATTTATTTATTTGAACCCCAGTATCTCCAATACACCTGTATATGCCTATAGTTGATATTCACTGTGATTCTCCTAATATAAGTTTTTTTGTGTGAATTTTTATTTTCATTATACATCAAATGTAGTGAAGAATGCCAAGAAATTAGCAAAATATACAATTTTGAGCTTAACAGAAATTTTAATTATTAGGATTATTATTATTATTATTATTATTATTATTATTATTATTATTATTGTAAGGACAACACTGCTTGAAAACTTACAATGGATCTTCTTTATTGAAAACAACGGGACTTGGTGGTCTCTTAGGCGACTGCCAGAACAGAGCTAAAAACAAAAAACATAACATATATCACAGTGAACAATGTTAAATAATTGCTAAATCAAGTATATTATACACGTATAAATTTGCTTGTGTTCTCTTAATCTTCCCAGTAAGGGCAAAACATGAGGATCATGGTGCTACCACAAGGTGACATCAGTCATAGAACACCATCCATATCGTTTCTTGGTTTTAAGTAGAGTCATTTACAATGTTTATCTTTTGTGATTTGTGATAGTATTACATAAATACAGAAAGTGGTCAATGCATGTTATGGCAGTGTTGCAAATAAAAAATGGTATCTCTCGTCTTAATACTTACATCCATCCTGTAGTTTGGTATCAAGCGGAAAAGAATGAACAAGCTGTTTTGCCTGTAAATCAGAAAGTATTGACTTCAATTGTTTCAGTAAAAATGCTAAAAAGCAGCAATAACAAAATAAGAACTGAAGAGTCACAACACCTTTACAATTGGAGAAAAATTTGAAAAAATATGCAAAATTAAACGACTGACTTCATATACCTCTTGCAAAATATTTCACCTTATGATTAAACAGCTTTTCAAACTTGACCCTTGCTATCTCTACACAGTGCTTCCAGTCTCTGGGTCTATTAAGAACCATTTTAGAAACTTGCACTGCCCCATCTATAGCCTCACCATTGTTTAGTGACTGAAAAGGAGAATAGCATGTATACAGCACACTGTCAGATCATAGGCTCAAAAGTCCTTAAATTCGGATCAAAAGGGTGAATGAAAAGTGCAGATTGAATTGTAGATTGCAATATATCATACACATACATTAGGGCATTTTACATAATTATAAAAATGTACTCCATACTAGTCACACAGACTTATGAAATCCAAGATCTGTGAAAAACAGAAACCAAAGATTAAAACTTAAGTAATAGAAAAAAGGTACCTGTATAACTTGTTCTGCAGATTTATGACTTGACCAGAACTTGTTGAACAAATTTGGCTTTTGTGTGAATTGGCTCTCAAACTGATAAAACAAATATAAAAAATACAATATACTTTGTATTTGTCCCTGCTTATCATCAGAATAGAAAATATTACAATGTAGATGTGCATTTTCTATAGATAGTCTAATACAAGGAACAGTTCCTCTATAAAAAACTAAGGTGATAAACAATTTCAGAGTATTACATAAATAAATCTCAAAGCAATGTAGGGGTTTCAGCTTGTCAATGTTACCTTGTCTCTTGCCCACTGAATACAATGTTCAATTGTTGCTGGGAACGACTTGAGCATACAATAGGGCACTTCCTCATCCACAGGATCACGCTGTGAATATAGAACATAAAATGAAATCAATTCGTCTTATTTCTTCCAAAAAGCATTCAGATTTTAGTTATGACAATCCATAAAATCTGGTAATGACAATCTACGCAAAACTTTTGGATGCTTCGAATTATTCAAATTTTTCATTATCATTCAAACCAGATAAAAGTATCAATAAGGTATAACCATCTAACCATCTAAATGATGAGATTCACAGGTCACAGGAATGTAAGAGAAATATCTGCATACATTATATGGTGCACAGTTGAATAATATATTCAGACCCAGTGGCTAGCGCAGCACAGTTAATTGATACTCACCTGACTAGCATAGGACTCTGTTAAATGTGGCACTATCACCTGAACATGTCCCTTGGCACCCATAGTTCCCGACTCCAACAAGGCCCTCTGATTAGACACACATCGGCTAATAATGAGACATTGGGCAATAAATTTTACATATCTTTTTTAAAAACTTGCTAATGCAAAATATTCATGGGCAGTTACAATAAATGTAGTAATTTTCATATCATTTAAGTCTTTTTAAAGCTGGATGGCTCTTTTTCTACAAATCCTTTTTAGATATGTTAAAATATGTTCAGCTAAATTCTCTGCCAATAAACAAAACAAACAGGCAACTTTTAGATCAATGTCCTTCAACAGGCTCACCTGTCTACATATCTCCTGGCCTCTACATTGTCCAGTGCATTGACAACCAGGTGCTGGGATATAAAGAAACTGTCATTGTACACACTGTTCTCAGTCTGGGGACACACTGGAAACAATATTAAATATCTATAAAATAGCAACCAGTAATTACAGTTTGAATCATACTGAAATTAACTTTGGAAATCACTTCCCTTCAAACGTATAAATACTAATAAATACACTAGTCATGTATATTAGATAAGGAACCGGATTACATTCTGGGCTTATGTATCATTTCTTACCTTTGTGTTGATGTGCTTCAATATGGAGTTCTGAAAAGAATAGCAAACAAAACTGAAAGAAACCCAATTGTACTTTTCATCATTTTCATAACTGATACAGGCTTAGCTCTCTATGCATGTACTGAGCCTTTCTTGTTCGTATATATTTTTAAATCTTAATAATATGAATCAACCCAGTCAGTGATGTTAGCATTGGCCCCACACCAAATGCATGTAAAACTGAAGCCCAACCAGTAAGATTTTGTAAATTTGTTTAACCACTTTTCATTTTTTTCTGCTATAGTAGACTCTTAGGCCCTAGTGACTGCCCAGGTGACTTAAAGGGACAGTAGGCTAAAAAGGTTTACCACAGACTGACATATTTATGTAATATAAACTGTGTCTGAAAATAACAGTTAACAGCTTCTAGTCAACTTTATATATAACTATCACAATTTGACCAGTGACCATAGATTCTCAAAATGAATGAAATACTTACAGATTAATTTTAAAATATTTATATAAAACATTAATACTTATTTTTAGCACCTCTTACCAGGATTCATTGCTTTTGCTACCTCAGCTGCAGTGCTACTCTTAGGTTTCTGAAACCCAGACAGAAGTCCAAAATAAAAATAAGGTTGTCAGCATAAATAATAATGTATGCATTAACAATACACAATTTTATTCATCAATTCAATGTTCTGAAGACTTTCCTTTGAATCATTATAATAAAACAGCCACTTGCCTGTATATGATGTGGTCTAAATAGGAACTGCCTATTCAAATTGGATTTCTCTATCAAATCATTGTCTGTTATTGTTATCTGAAATGATTCATACACTTAAGTTATGAAATGAAGAAAGAAGGACACATCAGAAGTGTTTGACCCAGTCAATTACTTTTCAATGTGTACTTATTGAAATTTCACCGCCTTTATATCAAGAGAAAGTTCCTTTTCTCATTGATACCCAAATTTTTTAGAATGAAATAATCAAGAAAATATCTAATGATTTAAAACTTCACTTCCAACAAATTTGAATTAAAGAGACATATAGATTTAGTTTAAAGGGTAAACTTTAGCTTTAGGTTACCTGTCCATTGTTATGAGTACCTATCCCCAACATGGCATAATTCTTCATCATTTCACATCCTATAGCACCACAGCCAACCTGATTATATTAAAAGAAAGATTAAGTTGTTGATAACATAATTCTGAATTAAAGTGAAATCATCTTAAATTTCTATAACTATAAATGTAAGTGTTCACTTTTAGGTTCCAAGTTATACATTTTTTATAATACATGTACTCACATGTAGTAGCAGAAAAGAAGAAAATGAAACTTAACATTTTGACAAGTGAAGCAACAAATAAATAAATAAATAAATAAATAAATAAATAAATAAATAAATAAATAAATAAATAAATAAATTCATTAATTAATAAATAATAAAAAAGACAGAGCTTATTCAGCATACACAGTTAAAATGTAATAATAAAAGATAGGAGCAAAAGAATCCCACACTAAATCTTCTCACCATGAATAATTTTAATTGTGCTAACTGCTGGCAGACATCCTCTCCTACACAAGCCCTCAGAGAATCATATCTTGAGTTGCTGAAAATACCCATAGTAAAATAATCAAAATGGACTTTTATTCAAAATGTCACGAAGATAATAGTGAGCAATATCAAATCAATGCCATCCTACCAAGCAACACAGCTTCACAAGACATGTCTCATAAATCTACGTGGAAGTTAGGTGCATTGATGCAGACAATATAAATGTATTCTGAACTGACCTTGGGTGAAAATGTGAAATGTCCTTGTTTTCTAAACCACTAAGAACTTCAGAGGCATCTAAATAAAGCTGAAAAAATCAGAGAAAATATCTGATCTCCATTATATATATGTATGTATGGAAGAATAACAAAAATAATCTGGTAGAAATGATATCCACATGCCCGCAAGACATAACATAAACTATTTTCAGGCACTTGCCCTATTGGGCAAGCAGGTCAGAAAATCTACTTGCGCAAAAAAAAAAAAAAAAAAAAAAAAAAAAAAAAAAAAATCAATTGAAACATCTCATTGTATTTTATGACCAAAATAATAAACCACCCATGAAAAAAAAGGTCTTCCAGGCACAAGTGATCCATTAGCAAGTCTTTTGCATTTTTCAAGCAAGTAAGACTAAAATTCTAGTTGCCCAACAGTAGAAACCACTTGCACCAAGTATGTTGTATGTTGAGCCCTGTACCCATAACTTGAAAAACTTACCCACTGCATCAATGGAGAGAACTTTCCAGTTAAAGCCTTCAGTCCTTCCTGTGCTGCTATACCTCCCAGAGCTGTGCACAATGGTGCCAGACAGCCTTGACAGGTGAAGGATAGGTTAGAAACAAGCTGTTCATCTAGATTAACCTGCAACAATATTGAATAAAGGGAATATGTCAATAAACAATTATTATCATAAGAGCCAGATTGTTGAATTTAAGGTAGTTTTCCAGAAAACTGTGCTAAAAACAATAACCTTCTTTACTTATTAATTCAAATATAATTTCTACAATACTTTTAGATTGATTCAGTTTTAACATTTTGGACTAATAAATGCAAACAAAACAACTAAGTAAGAATGACAAGGATACACTAGAATAGCAAGGATACACTTTATATTTTACCTGGTCTTCCATTTGAGAATTTTGTTCCCTGGCTAGCTGTACTAAGACTTCAGCATCCTTTCTGCACCTGTTTCAGTAACAATCAAAGTTCTAATTGTTCTAATTATTGGAAAATATGAGATAATGAAAATCATTGTTCAGAGATCACAGGAAGCAATCTATTGGATGGAAAATTATTTGAAGGACCAAAGATGTTCACAAATTTCAAGGACCATGGGCATACTCAAATTTCAAGTGTTTCATGAAGTGTGATACATCTGAAAACCCCATTATACCTCATCATAAACTATCAAAGCAATTTGTTCTCAAAAGTTTTCCCATGTTTTCATCATGAAAAAATGTTTCAATAAGTCTGATATTTTTCATGTTATAGGATTACAGAAAGATAAAATGATAGTTTACTGTAACATACTAGCATATACAGTACTAAGTGGTGATAGTATAGTTAAGAGATAGTATAGTTACAGAAATAATACATAACAGAAAATAAAATTTTATAATATAATTTTTTAATGGACATACCTAATATTTGGAAGTCTTGACTGCTGTTCTCTGAACTTGTGCAGTGCCAGCAATCCTAAGTGAATACTGGATGGTGCCTTCAAATCCAGATAAACATGTATTTAGCTTGCAAACATCAGTAATTTGAACAGAAAACACTTCTCAATTAAAAAGCACCCACTGCAAACATCAGTAATTTGAACAGAAAACACTTCTCAATTAAAAAGCACCCACTACCCAATAAAATACACTGAAATTCTTATTCTAATCATTTCATACATCAGCTTTTTTATTCCTATATTCCTGTAGGCAAGAACAGCACTGTACATGTACTGTATTCTACTGCACTGTATCATAATAGATTAGTGGGTTTTCAATTGCTCTAAATGTAAATGAATAAAAATAAAAGGACATTTACAAAGATCTGCAGAAGGACATGTTTATACTGACCTCATATTTACAAAGATCTGGCACAATACAATTTGGGCTTTTCAGCTTCTTTTCCAGAGATCCCTAAGGGAAAAGAAGAAGACTATACAATTACCAGAGGTTCATTGTTACCAAGGTTTTTTTGAATTACAGAAATTTGACTTTAAAAATTCTAAAATTGTCAAATGAAATACTCTATCAAAATAAGATTTTAGATTAATTCCAGTTAAAAAATTTAATGATGTATGATTTATAGTGAACATTTTAAACTTACAAAGGACACAACTTTTGGAACTTTGACTTGTACAGCAAGCCCATCTCTCTCGTATGGAGCAAACTCCTCACCACTAGTATCACAGATAGTGTAGGCATAGGGAGACAAAACTGATCAAGAGCAATAATAAAAATGTCAGATGTCAGTTTGAAAATATGAGTTAAAACACTTATATCAACACATTTAACACTTTAAACAATTGCAAAACAAAATAGGAAAAAGTAAGAAATTTACTTGAATATTTGTAAACAAATATGTCACCAAGTGATATATACCATTTTTATCATAACTGATTAACATTAACATTATTTACCATAACTATGCATGCATCATACTTTTGTTTGATCTTGCTAATCAGCTACAAAATACCTTTGATCTGGCAAGTTTTGCCATTGAGTGCTTCCATTCCTTTCAACTCTTTGAAAGTGACAGTATCTCCTTCATCAAACCCATGCATTCTATTTTCAAGACAAGTCACCACTCCTGGGTTTCCCTGTAAAGTAAAATTTTGCATAGATTCCATATTGTGTTAAATAATAATTTTGTACTTACGTCCTTATCATACACATAAATACCTTGTCAAATGGAGTAAATCCATTTAGTTAATGGCCATATCAAACAAGTTTTGGAAAGTCAATTTAAATCAAAGATCTCTTATATCAAATCTACCTTAGTGATGTTGGCAATGAAAGACTCCTTTGCTTCTTCCCCATTTACATCAGTCACCTCAAACTGGTCACCAAAGTCACAGAATAATGATGAGAAAACACCATAGACATCCGCACAGATAAACTGAAATTCAAATAATTGCACTGTAGTCCACTTAAATTCTGATAACCATTGCATAACAGTAAGGCAGGTTTTTAATTTAAGTTGTTTTCATTTCACAATTAAAAATATATATAAAACATTTGCTTTATTTAATAAATTAATATCTTTGCTTTCCAATTTGACTTCAAGGATGGCATACCTTTATGGGTGGGACTTGTTCTCTGCAATATTCATCTACTTTAATCTGTATATTCAAGGGTGTCTCTGTCAGTATGACACACTGAAATGAAAGAAATTCTTCATTGTGTCTGTTATGGGTTCATTTTATTATCCAGGGAGACTCATAACTATATGCAATAATATAGGTTTTTGGTTTCTGTTTCCAGAAAATGGTTTGTTAAGATACAGGACCTAGTGATGCTGCAGGGTTTAGGACATTACCATACAAGATGAGACAATGATAAAAACAAATGTTTCTTTAATTCAATTTTCTCATTCACATTATTCACATTCTAGCTTGCCCAAAGGAATGCTACATGAAACATCCATGAAGAAAAGAAAAGACTGCTACATGAATAAATCTCAAAACATCCCCTTCGTGTTACCAGCACATCCAACATTATATCAGAGATCACTACCAGTCTCCTTGGTAGCCTGACATATACTGCCTTTGAACTATATATGCAATCTAAAATGGTTTGATAACCTGTTTATATTTACTTAGTTTTCTATCTTCTTGAGCATTTCATCAAATGAACATTGGTTAATATATGTCAATGATGATGTTAAGAACTTTAAGTATCAATCTAATCATTAACCCTTTGTTTTGACTTATATCAACTTTATGAACTTTTCACTTGTGAAATAGATTATAACTAGAAAACAATATCCTTTCAGTACTATGTCATTTAAAATCCCGAAAATATAGAATACCCCCTAAACTTCCAAATATTTAGAAGAAAAAAAATTGTACAGGGATGGTTAATTTGGGAACAAAATCATGTATTGGTCTTTGACGTCAAATTGATGGTCCTGCAAAATGGTGTCAGCTATTAATTAAAGTGCTGCACCTATCTTATCAGGTGTTCCATTAAAACGCTAATAAGAATAAAGTCCATTGAATATTACCTTGCCTAAAGGGACAAAGCTCAGCTAATAAGTAGCACCCATAAGTAAGAAAGAGTTAAAGAATACACCATCATGCTGCTGTTAACATTTCTATTTATCGCCATATTCCAAACTGGGCATGGTCAGATAGTGCCCAGCACTGGACATCAGCCCGCTGACCACACCAGTCTACTATTGCAAGTCCAGAACTATCTTCTTCAACTCCAATCCTCTGCTGCTGACCAAAAACAAAGCCTGATGGACATCCAAGCCAGTGTCGCTGACCTCAAGTCAAAAGATGCCCAGATTGAAAAGAACTTGACACAGCAAGATACAACTACTAGCAGCCAACTGCAGTTCCTACAGCAACAGCTGGCCAGTGCTGGAGACCAGACAGCCAACCTCACGACACAACTAAAGAAATTAGAAACTATTATGAATGCACTGCAGATGAAAAATTCTGATCAACAAATTCTGATTAATACTGCAAAGTCCTCCCTGGATGTACTTTCCAGTAATATCTCTAGTATAAGTTCTAGGCTTTCAAACCAAGTCATTTCTATAAAATCACTAGGGTCAAGTATGAAGCAACTAGAAGCCTCAGTTAAAAATACAGAGATACAAAATGGTGAATTGAAGAACAAAACTGCAGCTTTGAAATTAGAAAATGCTCTGCTCAAAAAAAGGATGGACTTATTGATAAAACTGGGTGAGTTACATTAACATTACATTTAGTAATAGGTAAACCTCTACATGGTCCTCATATATAGAGCAAGTGAAATTATACACATTATTGAAAGAATGGCACTAAGGTGTAACAGGTGCCAATGTCATACACCGTAGTTTATTTTCAGCTAAATTGTACAAATATTTCTGGAATAAAATCATGAAACTTCAATTCAGTATAGACATCAAGGTAGCAACAATACATAAGGTTCTGTTGTTAACCATTTCAGATGGTTTTGTGGCATACCAGTCTTCCTGGTATAAATACATCAGCCAACCTGCACCATGGCACAAAGCTGAGGAACTCTGCCAGTTGATCCACCCTCAGGCTCACTTGGCAGATATTCTGTCACAAGCAGAGAATGACTTCATCTTAGGACTGGCACCCACAGGTGAACATGTAGTTACAATGCTAAACACACATGTAGTTCAATAGCTGTATTTCTGCTTTTAGACATTAATACAACTGGTTTTAAAAACACAGGCAGTGTTTACTATTTATATTATAACTACCATTCATTTGAATTTTAACATCAGGAAATGAGTGCTTTACATAAGGTTTTGTTATCTTCTACTTTGTTTTGTCACATACATTTTGAGAACAGATTGCAAATTCCAAGTGCTGTATTGAACATCAAATAAGGTGACTATGTTTCTGCTACATGTATATGTGACATCTCAAAACTAGTGTAGATATAGTGGTAAGTTAATTAGTTACTTGCTCCTGCAAATTTATCTCCCTATTTATCTGATCCATAATTCCAAAAGCTCATGCAGTATCATTAATGTATCACGTAACATGTATTTTAGGTACAAACGAAGTGTTTGTAGGAGGACATGATATTGTAAAGGAAGGTGTATGGAAGTGGACAACTGGGCAACAATTGACATATACCAAATGGAATAACGGAGAGCCGAACAGCTACAAAGGCATGGAAGAAGACTGTATTTTGATGATGGTTAATGCAGGGGGAGCATGGAATGATGATTCCTGTGATAAATCTTATTCATTTGTGTGTAAAATAAAGGGTTAAATGGTTCAACGTAATGCTGATCTCAGATAATTTTCATTTTCAATGACTGATAATATTTTTAATTTAAGACACTCATAGTGATTGCAACTCTGACCAGTTGAACTTGAAATTCAATGCTACCTTAGGGATCGTTTCTGATACATGGATAAATAATGGGAACAACTAAATTCAAAGACACTCACTATGACAACAGTATGTCATTCTTAGTTACTTACAATTTGTAGCTCATATCATGTAATTGAGACTTATTCACATAATTCTTATCATTTACTAATAACTTAAAGGTCTTTTCAAACTTACCCAATTTGGGACACTTTGAAAGGTCCCAATGTGTAATTTTGTTAATAAGTGTTATACTCCCTTTCAAAAGATCTTCACAGATACACTTCTTGCTGTTTATTTTTGTAAGTGGTACAGTGGTACATAGAATACTGCCTGGCATGAAAAGGGACCAAGATAAAACAATCAACTTATCTTACCTGATACCATTTGATTAAATATATTTTTACCTGAAAGTTCTTCATGTAGGTCAGGTCAGTGGTCTCATTAAGAGGAATGAGCAGGCTTTGGACAGTGACATAAGGATTCAGCTCTGCTAGTTTTGAGGAACATACATCTGCTCTGTAACAAAACAAGATCAGAACATTTCACCAGAAGCACAGGTTCAAGGAACCTGATACTAGTCAGATGACAAAACAATAATCTGGTTTGTGTTACACTTAGTTTCAATCATCAAAGTATTTTTGTACTAATCAAATAGGCAGTGTAATACCTCTTACTGATTCTAGATTGCAACATAATGTTTTATTTCCTCTGAAAAATTGTTTAAGTTTATATATTTAAGCATAAATTCAACAGACATAGAATCCTTATTTACCTGGTTTCAGTAAATTAATAAACAAAAAAGAAAAATCAGAATTTTTTCATGGTTTAACAGGTTACATTACAGGTAGTTTCACATAATTACTACACATTTATTCATCCTTCTTCACAGGTGAAAATCTTAATGTTAAAGGGATAACTGTTCGCGTGAAATTTATATTTCACGATAAATACACTGCAAACAATAAATTCTATTTTACCACCAAAAAAGCAGTTATTGTATATGTTCTGGAATTTTGCCATCAGACCACGTAAACCTTCATAACACAGATGGCTCTTAAGAGATTATTACAAAAAAACCAAACTTACTAGAAAAAAACATGGACCAACTATCAGAATGGATTCATTTACCATTGGTAAGAATGGTAAAATTGTCATTTAACCCAGGAAAATCTTTTTTTGACCAAAACAAACATCTCTTATCCCTGGAAAGAAGACTGATAAAGAATATTGTATTTTAGTGGTTCTGCAACACTTTTGCTTATAGACATAGAACATTGTGCTTTTCTGCCTTAAAACATATTGCAGAAAACTTGATTTCACTGCTGAATGCTAAACTACATGTAGCTCAAAATTAGATACAAACAACTACCTATTCCTGCCCGTATTGACATCCTGTTCTGTTATAAAGAAATTTGTTCCCATGTCCCAGTGTGTGGATAATTTGGCATCTTGAATAGTCACCGACTGGAAAGAAGTCAATATAAGCAAGACTAGTGTAATGTCAAGGTTTGATTATCAAGCCATTAACAGAGTTATGTCACAACCTCCCATCTTTATACAGACTTTTTTTCTGGACTGAGATGTGAAAATCCTTACAAAAGTACATGTTCACTATACTACAGTCCCATTATGCCATTGTGCAGTAAGACAGTCTCTTATCTTAATTGATTTAAGAAGAATGCAAGTATAAGACCTACCTTTATTCCAGCAAGCACCAGATTTTTGGCTGAAACAAACAATCAGCCTAGTTATTTGCATCACTAGTGCAACTGAATTTTTCTCAAAGAGCAATTTAAGAACAAAGATGGCATAACAATAAGGGAAATTGGTTAAAATGTTCCTAAAGATAACTTTAGGTATCTGAGTGTTTTAGTGAAAAAAAATTGGGGAAAGGAAATAAGGGCCATACACTTGAAATTCTTTGTGAAACAATAAAATGAAGAGAGCTGACGTATAGGCTCACACAAACACACACATACAGAAACATACACAAAAAAAAAAAAAAAAAAAATTCTGAATTGATTAAAACAATTTTTAAAATTTTTCATATTTGCATGTGTATTAACAAAGGAAGAGAATTTGACAAAGTACAGATTGTATGATTTCCTCTCTGCTGTAAAATTGCATTCATATGTAGCAGACTTTTAATGGCTTGCACCCCTTAATGCTCTGGCAATAGCCTTTCCTTACACTTGAATAGGTGTATTACAAAAATTGAAATTTGAAAACACACTTGCACATGCGCATATGCATACACATACACACAAATATAATAAGTACCTATTTAACTTTAAGGGAAGAAAGCATTGAAATAACAATTAAATACACTTCTTTTTTGCGCAGTAAAACATCCTGACACATGAAGATATAATTTACTGATAAATTTCAAAAATTATTTACCAAAATAGCTTAATTACTATTAATGAAAATAATTCGAATTTCGGCCAAACGTTGTCATAAATTGATCTTTTAGGAATAATCAACTGCACAGCACTGGTATTAGGATAGGCAAAATACACATTTTGATAAAAAGTTTTTCTATCAGTATATATAGATATAATACAATAAAATGATTTTTTCATTTAAATTTAAAAATAATATTCAAAATCAACCATGAAATCCTTGTATAACAGCTCACAGCAACCATAAAAAGCAGACACATTGCTGACATATAACCTTTGTGGTACAACTTTTCTATATTTTACCAATCCTACTGGGGTGGTAAGACAATTGTATGTTTGAGCTCTGGGTATATATAACATATGACTCAGATAGCAATATTCAGCTCAATTACCATCAGACAACTACTTAAAACTTGGTTCTAGACACCTGTGTCTGGTTTACTCATACATTGAACTGTTTAGTTGATGTTAATCAATTAATGAGTTTTTCAACTTACCAATTTCTATTCCTACACCTCCCATTCCATATACCAGCACACTTGCCCTTGCCATACGCAGCATGGCATTATCACCCAGCACATAGCGCTGTCGACTGGAAAACAAAAAATAACAAAATATTTTAACTTAATTTTTCTAATTCAAATGGAGTAACTGCAATTCTAATCAACTTGTGAAAGCAATATTTTAGTGGACAGTATAATATTTGCCCCTGGTTGTCAGGCATAGGTTGTCAGGCATAGGCCATGACAATATTTTCAAAGACTGATAACCTCTACCTATTAACTAGTGTATACTACAGTATTTTAGAAAAAAAAAATTTGTCATTTTCAACATTCAGCTTATTTTCCTATTTCCAGCTTTCACAAGACTGTAATAGTACAGATGAATAATGATTATTGGCAGCGACAGCTACATTACATAAGCAACAAAGCAAAATACAAAATGATATACTTATCCAAAAATTTACATTTACTATCTTAACTAAACTAGAATGAGTTTAGCATTATCATCAGACATCTCAATGTAATATCACATAAAAAATATTAATGTACCTGAAAAATGCATTTCAAATTGTAGTTTCAATGATAACACTGTAAATAAGTCAACAAAATTATAATAAAATGATACTATTTACCTGTATAAAGAGTCATCTATCTCAGAAGCCATGTTGTCTGTGTGACAAGAGCTTCTTACTGCCTCTACAGCAAGCCTCAATTTCTTAGCTGGAACTGACGTCTTGATATCTCCTAACGTAGTTAACCTTTAAATATATTAGATGATAAAAATCATATCCAAAACATAAGGATCAGGTTCTATCATTTAAGGGAATCTTTTTTTTCTCAAATCATTTAGCATATTGTGAGCCAAAATAACTTTTGTGAAAACGTTTTTATTCATATATTTACAATTATAAATATATATTTATATATACATTTCAATTCATATATTGAACTATCTTACTAGAAAACTTATATTTAGAATCTACATCATGATGCTCAAACATATCCTTCTCATAGACTTTTTGAGTCAATTATTCTAGCAGTAGAGATAATCATGTAACCATGGAAACGACGGGAGAAAATCAATGAAATAGGACAAATATAGAAGATCCCAGACAAATACGTTTATGCTTATGCAATTCATTTTTCCCAGACATATTTTTTCGTTGAATGAAAATCATACATGTGGTATGTCTTTGAAAGTCAATAATGCAAAGCTGAGAATAAAACAGAACCACCCTGAGCTATGCACCCTGAGAAAGCAATGCTTTTTTTTTCAGTATTACCTACATAAATCAGTGGGAACACTTGTAATAGTGTGATCCCACAAATATCTGTAAATACAGGGTGGATAATACAAAATCTTAAAAGTTTAATGCCAAAAATTGGAACTAAACACACACACACACACACACACACACACACACACACACACACACACACACACACACACACACACACACACACACACACACACACACACACACACACACACACACGATAGGCACATACTAGTATCTGTGAAGCCAAAGTAGAGCAATAGCAATATTAATTTACTGGGAAGTGGGCAACTTTGAAAGTGATGAGAGACAAAATATTATGAAGTATATAATGAATAAAAATAGTTCCACTGGAAATCAGTAAAGGGAACCGAAATAAAAAATCTAATGGCATCCATATGATAAAAACCATGCAAAAAACAGATGTGTACATGAGGCTGATATTATTTTTTCATCAATTTGTTTTGAACAAAGAAATTCACATCCTTGGTATATAATACTAGTATAGCGTGAACATGTTAAATTTTAAAAGAAAAGAAATATATTTCATTTTTTTCTGAAAATCAATTGCTGCTTTGATGTAAAAATTGGATTAGGAGACAAAACTTCACTTATAAGGCCTTAATAAAATGTGTGCCAGACTGAACCCATGCATAAGTAAGAATGGGTTCCCTGAGGAGTCTCACTAAATTGCTATCAGCTAACTGGCTTAAATGTCTGTCACGCCTACCGAATCAGCTAGGGGGTAAAGATACCCCTCACAGCTTTACTAGGCGTGACAGACATTTAAGCCAGTCAAGTGGACAGCAATTTAGTGAGACTCCCCAGGGAAACAGATCGATCCAAATATCTGTGGGAATGGTCCCTAAATTTCAAAGGAGGGATACAAAAATAAACAATAAAAGTACTATTTAGTCTTTCAAAATGTCCAGTATTTTTCCTCCAAAAATAATTCCTTCAATTTTCCACAAACATTAATAACTTGATATACATGTATTTTATAAATGCCTCCAAATATATTGTGGCTTGTCCGTAAGGTACGAATATATTGCAAAGCTGATATAATCAAACAGATATGTTTTCATACCAAGGCTTTCCACAGTGAGATGGCCACTAATTAACGAAAAGACAACCTATATTTTCAAAGATGACTGGACGGATTATGAAATTTTTGAGGAATGGCGGCCTTTGGACAGCATAGTTAACTCCCAGAAAGTTATTTGACATAACCCCCCCCCCTTGTTGGACTCCCTATAAATCATTGACAAAATTACAGATTAACATCTTGGACTTCTGGGGAAACCCCTGCTTCATAGTCATGTTTTATAAATCTTCTGAATGTGCCTGATTTAGTGAGGAAGCTACAGTAGACTGCAGATTTGTAATAATGGGAATGTTCATTTATGTTGAACATATCTGGTGACAAGAAGTATTTTTTGGTATTATTTGAAACACATAAAAACATCACCATACTGGCAAATCTTCATATACAACAAACAAATCTTCCTGTCCCAATGTGAGTCAAATATAATAAAATAATGTAAATTGCTTTGCATGCTTGAAACTATGCTACCCATGAGAGAATTAATGGCCAGTGAGATGATTTGGTAGAGCTGATTGTACTATAGGGTACAACTTGACATATTTTTAAAAAAACTTGATAAATAAATAAATAATAAAAAAATTAATAAAAAATTAATTTAGAAAACACCTCTGCATTATAGAAACATGTAAGGTTTTTTAATTTCACCTATATCATCAAGACTGATGTTCCATGGTAGTGGGAAAAACAATGACTGGTAACTCAGACTATAAAGTTGAATGAGTTTTAAAATGTGATTTGGACATAACTGCAAAATAACAAATTTTAATACTTCATGATGATCCAAGGTCTACTCTGATTTTTTTTTTTTTGCTTTAAATTAAGTTCAGGTGCCTATAACATGTCTTATATTCCTCTAGCATATAGGCTCTCAAAAACAGAAAATGTAAATGTGGACAAAGATAATTAAATCACCTTTACCAGATCCAGGATATTGATTAATACCCTTTTGACAGTGACCAGCACAGTTTTTCTGTATTGCAAGATTGGCAACTTAAGAGCTTTTCTAGTACATAAGAGTCACCTAATAAGAGCCTCTTGCTTAACACAAGATAAATTCTGATTGTCAATTGGGGCTTGTGAAAGGGAGTAAAAGTAATTGGAAAACCCCGTGGTACCGAAAATATATTAGGACCACTCACTTGGTGCGATCTGGTTATTGCACCGCTCGATGTGCAAAGGGCGTAGGGATATTAAAATAGGGATTGTCACCTACGCCACCACCCCTCTTCCCCGCTAAGAACTTCTGAAAACCACACCACTCTATCTCAGCAAAACCGAGGCCGGTCGATCATTAAAGTATATTATGGGTTTCAGATAAAAGTGACGAGCGAAGTCGCTGACTAGAATTCTGATGTCCTACACATGCAACTTGCAGAGAGAGCAATAGGTATTCGTGTCCATCATTTTCTGAGATGATCTACAGTACTTTCCCAAGTTTGATTCCAACCACAAAAACTCACCGAATATTAATGACACAAAACAGCAGACTTCAGGTTGGGAGAGTTTGCTCAACTATAGATGTCGCCAAAATCAGAGATGGGACAGAATCTATAAAGTTAAATATTATAATATATAAGAAACATTACTTAAGTTCATTGCAAAATCAGAAAGAACAAGTTAATCATATCATGCCATTTTATCAAATTTGTGGACTTATGACTTCATCTTCGTGAGATGAAAATGAATGCTTTTCTTTACTCTCCACTAAACGCGCCGCCTAACGGCACGGCCTAGATAAAAAATAAATATCGATTCGCTGAGAAGCGCGCCGCCTGACGTCAGGTCTGAAACACATTTATTTACACCGGCTACCGGCTACACTATGGCAAACGAAGGTGCGGACGAGCTCGCCGCACCAAACGATACTGTCATGCCGACGGCAGCTGCTGTATTGCTCATTGTTGGTGAACCAGCAACCGAGGATCACAGAAGTTTGATTTTGGAGAAGATTTCTAAAGGTAATGTGCTGAGTTTGTGCGTTGTTTTTGTTCAAGTGCGCCGTTGCGGCTGGTCTATTCCGCATTTTCAGCAGTTGAATGAGTCATCGTAGCATTATATTAGCTGTCAGACGTTATGAATCAGCCTCAGTGATATGAAACCTGCAATTTCATTACGAATTGAGTGTTTGTGTGTAAGAAAGAGTTTATTTGTGCATATAATTGTTTAAGATATTGTGAAAGTATTATCAAAGTAACTCGTTCTCTTTATTGCCAATGCCACTGTTTTAGTAATATTGTGTACTGGCACAATATGCGTGCATAATACTATATTTCGCTACAGATTCAGAAATGAGGAGGGGGGACCTTCCCTGCCCCAAACTTCAGCTCATGATCACCTAGTTCATTTTTTTAATTTAAAGATTCAGTGAAGGTTACTGAAATAAAAAAACTGCAATCTTGGATTTTTCTATGGTATTGTCTTTACAGGCCAATATCAGACAGTTTTTAAAGGTTATTTGGTCAACTGAATTCCATCATTGTTGGACAAATATGCTGTGAAAGTCATATCATAATGTCCTGTACTATTCCACATGACCTGGCAATTGGTTGTCATTATTTCCCTGATTGCCAAATCCCTTTTGGCGAGCATGGATATTGAAGACATGGAAAAACATGAGGGATGTTCAGTAGGGTGGAGTAAAGAGTATATTGAGATGAGCATTTACTAGTAAAAAATACCTTGATTGTTTGTTTATATACTGATTTTATTTAAGTGAGGAACCAAAAGATTTGAGAATGAGAGAATCTGACATTATGTAGTTCGATTAAGTTTTTTCTATGGTCATCATTTTTTTCACAGTATATGATATTCACTTTGCTGGTTTTTCAACAAACTCTTTTTCACAGTTGGATTTAAAAGAACTATGCATTGCATCTGCTTTCACTGGATATAATTTTAGAAAAATTATTTGCATCTTTTATTTTCATTTTTACTTTAATTTTCTTATTTCTTTAGTACATTGCTTAGATAAATTACTTGAGGACAGTGAAAATATTTCACAGTTAAAAACTATATCACCCATCTCAACATAATAAGGTAGTGGATTTCAAAATAAGCTAACTTCAACAAGGAATTTATTGATTGAAACTCCCAGTTTTATATATTATCAATTATTATATTGTATAAAAGTATAAATTATAATATCAGTGCTAGGTTCTTTTGTTACTGTAGAAATTAAGTTTTTCCTATATATTCATCCTCCCTTAAAACATTTGGGTGCATCAGCCATTATATACATACAGTCAAATGTTCTGACACAGGTGAAAGGTTTGGATAGGGTCACATATGGTCTGCATGGTAATTAGCAGGGAAAACAACTTGAATACTCATTGATGTCATTAGTGGCAATTGTCTTCTACTTAAAGACTGAACAGTTACCCATGTCTTAAGCTGCGGGCAGTAACTCGGTCAATATGATATTTGATGTCTCTGGAGGAATGCACTAATCAGTTAATGGAAATGGCATCTGTCTGGGAGTCAAATCCATTGGGCATCTATTATCTGGTATCCTTTCACTTTCATTATGGGAAAACATCTTACAAATTTTCAGCAAATTTACAGATGGTCATTTCTTGTAAATTGGAAACTCTGCTAAATTGAGTTTATTTTTAGAGACCTGTCCCTTGCTGATTGTGGCATTTAAGCAAGCATATTTCTTTATATAATTGTAGCTCTGCCATCTTAAGTTGGCTTGTCCTGTTGTCTACAAAAAAATTCACTAGTGCCTGTTTGGCATTTCTCCTGATCATTAAAGCTGCAGCTGTATGATTCATAAAGTGGGAGCCATTTGAGCTGTATTTGTGAGAATTGACTGCCAAATTGTTTTATCCATTACATGATTTGCAACTTTATGAATGATAATCAATAGGTGTCTGGTTTAAAAGGTCTCGGATGATTTGATTTTATATTCATGTCTGAGCATCTTATTGACAGTATTCATAAAACTACTAATCATGTTATTATTTTCATCTTGTTCTCTGTACTTCTTATTTACATTGACTATGTTAATCAGATGTTTTGATTAATTGATTTGTTATTTTTTAATTACATATTCAAAACATTAAGAATTGGCTCATGCATTATCAGGAAAGTAATAAATTTCAAGTCCATTTCCAAACAAAAGACATTGTCACTGTCTGACAGTTAAAGCCAATAACCTTAATGGTTTTCTAAGATATGTTTATGTCAGAATAAGCAGATTACAGAGGTTAGGGTGTCCTTGAAAGATTGACATTGAAGTGTTTTCAACAACATCCTGCATTAAAAAAAAGGATGTGGTCCAGATCCAGTGAATCTAGCTCCAAGTTTATGTTCAGATATTTTTGATGACATAATAGCAAAAATGTGTTGCTATCATTAGTAATGCATTCCTTGATAAAATTAATATCCATGGTATTGGTAACAGCATTAGCTCGGACAATGCACTTTTTGATATTATATTTATATTCTGGTAGAATGTACATGTAAATCTCAAAACACTGACTGTCTGAGAAATATTATATAATCTTTGTAAATCAACCCTATTGATCAATTATAAATTGATTTTGATTTTAACAAACTAGGTGGAATGAAGTGCCCGTCCAAGCAAACCCCACTCCCCGTCAATCCCTTCCCACTTGCCCCGTGCACTGCATTTATGTGGGCAGACATCTGTACTGCTAAGTGCAGTGGGAGCCCAAATTCAGTCTCTTAGGTAAAAGATGTGTTACTGGAGCTTTGGGAAATTATCTTTTCCATGCAAAAAGTCAATGAAGCAGCTCCTGGTGTTGAGAAATTGGCCTTTGGAGGAAGCAAGAACAGTTTGTGGATGATATCTAATAGATGAAGAAATTAAACATTACTTGAAGACATAATCATTATCGATTAGTCCAAAAGCAGCCTGTGGCTGTGTTGTTTCTTATTGGATGGCCTTACCAGAACATATTCCATGACATTATTCAACACATTACATTATTTTTGAGACATGGCATATCCATCTATGCTATGAACTTTCTCTTTTTATAAATTACTTATAGACTTTCATGTCTAAGATGAAATGATTGAGTATTTGCTAGCAAAACCTTGAAGCTACATTTATTATTCCTTAGTCATATTTATTTTTAACACCTTAAGAGATGTTTTGGGTGGATAGTTTTTAAAGTATATGATATCAAAGATGTCTAAAACCATAAACAGAACTGAAAGACTGCATTATCTAGAAAAGATCTTTCGACTTTATTTCTCTTTTGGCTCTAATTATTTGTATAATGCCCTAAGGGATTTTTAAAATGAATTTTCCTCTTTTCTTCCAAAGTAACTATTTCTTATCAATAGCATCGTCATTCAGGCATTGACTTGCATTGCCTTGAACCAGCTTGTTACTTTCTTTTTTTTTTAAATTCAGTTAGCAAAAGAACCCCATATCTTTCATGGATCATGGAGAACAAGATGTAAAAGAAAAAAAGGGCTTATATGATGACAGGCTATGTTATAACATATATTATATACTGAAATGCCAGATTAGTAAGTATCAAAGGATTTTCTTCAAATGAAAAAAATTATCTTAAGTGAAATGCCTTTGATTTTTTTTTTAATAATGGGCGATGAATTTGAACATTATTAATTTCATTGTACTTTGTTTATCTTTTGGCTTTTGAATAATTCTGCCAACGTTGAATGTTATTTATTTACATTTAATTAAAAGCATACCATTGCTACTGAGTATTATTTTTGATACATAATTTAGCTCAGGATGCTAAAAACAGTAAAGTGAAGAGATGTGGAGGGGTCTTTGATAAGAGGCGCAGTTTCGTAATGAGATGATTGAGATAACATGGAAACCAGGAAAACATGTGCAGCCCACAGGTAGAAGAAGCATGCTCCTGAATACCTCTGTTGGGATATCTAATTGTGCAATCTTTATGTACTGCCAGCAGGGAAGAGACTGGTGTATCCTCTTCTGGCATCTAGCAATATGTATTATAACAGTTTAGATAATTGATGGGTCAAAAATCCATGGGGTTGATATTATGAATATGTGCTTATCATAAACCCATTTGCTTATCTGTTTATATTGTTGATATAAGGAGTGAGAACGGGAAAGTGTAAAAGATCCGACTACTACAGATAGGACTTAACCCAGTTTATTTGTAGCATGTGTGCCAAATGTTTGAGTGATGTATCATGCTTTTTTTCTGGATATATTCTAGATGATATATATGTATAAAGCATATTTAGGAGTGCTGTAGTTACATGTATCATTGTCAGGCAATTTATGATGATATCCTAATATGATCATTTAGATGTAGTAGTATGTGAAGTCCCTTCTGGCTATCATATAGTAAAATTAAAAAAGAAAGAAAGAAAGAAACCAGAATGATAATCATAGTTTAAAGGAAGAGTATTAATGAACCATTTATTTGTTAGCACATTGACCATTTTATTAAAATAACACTTTCTGCAAATTGAGATCAGTGGCTTGAAGCAAACGTGAGAGAAAATTTCATTTGGTTGACTTAATTCAGGTGGTAAATCCAGTGCAGTTACTTTCTCTTTCAGCATTTGTAATGACTAAAATTTCAACTCTTCCATGGTCCCTTATTCAGCCAGCAGATTTACTCAAGCTGTTCCTTTTAATAGTTCACATCACTGCAATGGCTCTCCTTTACAGTTTTTTCAAACTAATTAGTCTCAAGGCCCCTTGGTATCCCCAGGGGTGATCAAGACGGGCACTTTTATTTTAAACCACTGCAATTTCCTACAGCAGTTTTGCTCATTAGAAATTTAACTGCACTTTAGAATGATATTCTGCAGATTGAAAAAGTGATTATCGCCAATGATGCTTGGGATGAGCCAGATGGTGCTCTGCTCTGTTTGCAAACTGTCTGAGATCCGTAGACTACAAGATTTATCTTTTCACCAAGACTCAAACCATGGAAGAGAGCAGACGCATACCTGACACAGACTAAGTGCTATGTTT